CCAGAACTGGACACAGCACTCGAGGTGTGGCCTCACCAGCGCTGAGTCCAGGGGAAGAATCACTTCCCTGGACCTGTTGGCCACACTGTTCCTGATCTGGGCTGGGATGCCATTGGCCTTCTTGGCCACCTGGGCACACTGCTGGCTTATGTTCAGCTTCCTGTCAATCCAAACTCCCAGGTCCCTTTCTGCCTGGCTGCTTTCCAACCACTCTGTGCCCAATTGGGAGCTGCAGGGGGTTGTTGTGGCCAAAGTAGAGGACCCGGCACTTGGCCTTGTTGAACCTCATCCCATTGGAATCAGCCCAACTCTCCAGTCTGTCCAGGTCCCTCTGCAGAGCCCTCCTGCCTTCCAGCAGATCAACACTCCCCCTCAACTTAGTGTTATCTGCAAATTTGCTGATGGTGGACTCAATCCCCTCATCCAGATCGTTAATAAAGATATTAAATAGAACTGGGCCCAACACTGATCCCTGCGGGACACCACTAGTGCTTAAACTCTGGCTTAGACCACGTATGTGCTTGGGATAACAAATATATTATGCAGGATGCAGCTATATAGTTGTGTTTTATGTAGATTTAATTCAGTGTGCTTACTTTCCTTAAACCTATCATTTAAAGAATGTACATTTTGTTCAGCTGAATTGGTTTACATTTTAGTGTTCGTGACACCTTTTATCCTTTCTCTGGTAGGAAACTGTGACAGTTTCTAATCGTAAAGGGAGATGCTGCCATTAATTTTTTTAGCATTATTTATTGAAGAGTTCCTTAAGCAAAAATCAAACTTTGAATTTGTCATGGCTTGAACAAAGGAAATATTTTTTGTCCAGTTTCCTCCCTATTGGTCTCCTGCTGGCATAACTAGGTACCTTTCCAAATTATCAGGGACTTCTTTCATTCACCTATCTTTTTGAAGTTTTTGTTTTGCTGGATTTCAGTTTATTGCAGGATCCTTATTCACGTGAAGCCCTTTAAAAGGAAGGGAAGATGCCTTTGGGCCTTCTTTGAACAGCTTAAAAAACCTTGGAAGCTAATGTCTTCCTTTTTCTCTGCATCTAGTTATTTAAAAGTTTGATTTGGCAATGACACAAAACAAAACAAAAAAAACCCCTCACTGGTCAGGCTGAAAATCAGCATTTCCTGAGGGCACTGTTCGTGCACGTAACATTCAGATTTTTCCCTTTGAGTCAAGCTCCCAGCTGGACCTCCATAGCCCATCTAACTGATGAATCATTGTGGCACCTTGTAATCAATGGAACATGGCTTTTGTGGGAAATATGGAACAACACAGGAGATGATTGATATTTCTCTGGAAGTTGTACCAATATCAGCTCCCAAATATATCTCTATTGGCCTGTTGAGCTGCTTTTTTCCCCACAGTAATCAACACTTTATTTCAGCAGCAGAGGTCTTCCATCCATACATTTTACCATTTTTTTCTAGATTTTCTTTATATTTCTGTGAAAATCCACTATACATATATATATATACATTTTACAAATTGAAATTAAAATTTAAGCAAAATTTGATTAAATCCTCGCATCCCATTATGTGACCTCACAAGAGGAATTCAGAATTTCCAGAGTTAGTATTCCGGAATTTTTCTTTAGAAATTCCAGAACAAGGATTCTGGAAATGCCTCGTTTGTTTTCACCGGATATAAGGACAAAATTTTCATGAAGGGTATTTTTTTTTACAGCTTCAAATTAACAATATTTAAAAAACAATTGCCCAAGCCCTTTGGTAATTTTATGTGTATATATTTCAAGCAGCATTTCAACATACAACTCATTCTAACACTAAACACATGATTATAGTAAAAGCAAATGCATTTGCAATGGAGCAAGGTATCTGAGAGCAGCCTAAGACTGCACTAATGTTCCTGGACTGTACGAGTGTGTTGGCAAAGGGGTTTGTAGCCTCTCATTGTGTCTGCCAGCTTTCCCTTGACTGCAGCTGTGTTACAGGACTTCTGCCTGCATTGACTCAGAGCCACTTGAACCACTTCCACTTCTTATTGCCAGTCTGGAGTGGGAAAAATAAACCAAAATCAGTGATGGAAAGGGGTTTGCTTTGGATTTGCTGTATCTAAGATATCTACAAATAAAAGGAAACAGGGTTCAATTGTACTTTACAGAGCTTTTCTGGATTAACACTAACTTCTGTTTCTATGCAGTTCCCATCCCACTACTGATTTTTGTGAGAGTAAACTGCATGGACTTGGCTACCTGCTTCTGGATGTGTGACTTCATTGAAGTGAAGGAGATGCCTTTAGCCAGGAGTAGTGCTTTTTTTTTTTTTTTCTGTTGCACAGTATTTACCAGCATGTGAAATGAGTTTTATCTTGTTAGCTGCCTTCTGTGTAAGGCAATAGTTTTCTGAACAGGTAATTAATCTATTTGGAAACACCTTCACGGCTTGGTGTCAGCTGCAGTGTTTCTTCATGGTGACATTGGATCACAGGTTGCAAGGGAGGAGATTATCTTCTGGGAAAATAACGTGTGCCTGCATTTTCCTAATAGGATTCATGATTTCTGTGCAATTGGATGGTTTTGTTTCACAAAGCATAAGCTACTGCTGGCATGCAAACTTCAGGTACCTCTGACCTCTTTTGAACTTGATAACTCTGAAGCTTTCTGTTCTGTGTTTCAGTTGTGCTTTGATTAAGACTTTGAAAGAACTGCTCTTTGATGGAATCTTGTATGAGGCATCTCTCTTGAAGCAAGTTAAAACCTGTGCTTTAAAACATGGCGTTTGCATCTTAATCAATACTGAGGCACAGTGAATTAATCTGTGCACAGCCCTGAGGGAATCTTCTTGGGAGTTTACTTTCTGTGCCTTAAAGACCTTACACCTGCAAGGAATAGAAGCACAACAGTGGCGTGGAGCTTGTGGGTGTGGATGGAAGCTCGAATCTGTGCTATACACCTCTGTATTTCCATAAATACAGGCAGGGAAATTCCTAAACACCTCTGGAACTTAATCATCTACTACACTGCACATAGGATTATTAACTTGATTGGGATGAATGAGCAGCATTTGCATTCAGGAGCATGTCATGATGGACTTGATATCTTCCTCCTCTTGTTTCAGCACAACCCTCGCTGAATAGAAAATGGTTGCATTTCTGTGCTTTAAGGTCTCTTTCAACCCACACCATACTATGATTCTGTGATTTCTGTAACAATATATATATATTTAATTGTTTTTAAGCCTTGCAGACCAGATGCAACAAAACACCTGACTGTGCAGGCAGTTTTTAAACAAATACTGGTATCTCACCAAAGCACATGGTTTTTAAACATGAGCTTTACAGAACTCTGGGACATAATGCTCCGCCAGTAAAAAATGAGATGAAAAACCCAGCTTTCCATTTTTAGTACCATCATAAAATGAGTGCAAGTATTTTTACACACAAAGTAAAGACCTATAATGTGAAGATAGTGACCATTTTGTGCCTTTTTTACCTCCTCATGTGCACCTTCCAGACCTCTGAGTGACCCTAGCCCTGCCATACTGCAAGAAGTTCTGCAGTCTGCTGCAGTAGAGCTAAGGTTTTAAATTCACATATTTGATATGGCTTCAGGTACTGTGGAATGTAAAACTCTGAGGCAAAACATTGGAGGAACTAAATCCAGATGTTACAGACTGACTGGTGGAAACTGGTCATCCTCTTCTTACACATGGTCAAACTGATCAGCTGCTTGAATATGTGTGGAATTCCCAAACACTCTCCTCTGTTTTAAAGGATAGGTCAAATGTTGAATGAGCCTTTTCTTTCCTACCCATATTAAGAGTAGCCAGTGCCTGCAGACCACAGAAGATGCCATCTAGGTTCATTTAATTCATGTTGTTTCTGTGTGCACAACACACAGTGTCATTACAAATTTGGGGTGTTTTCAGGTTGTTTGTTTGTTTTTCACTTTTTTTTCTTGTTATTCCATGAAATTTGCCATGAAATTAGAAATTATCACTGTATTTTTAGGGATTTTTTAAAATGTTTTCTATTTCCTAGAAATGTTCAAAAAGTTGGAGAAAAAATCAGAGAGGTGAACCTCACTTAGAACTTAATCTGGCCACTTCTTAAAAGATAATAAAAAGTGGTTTTAAAAATAAATTAAGCACAAAAGGAGGGCCAAGAGAAACTTCCGTTCTTTATTGGACACAGCAGGGAATAGTCAACAAAGACGAGGTACTTAGCACCTTCCCTGCTCCGGTCTCCAACAATGACATGAGTTATCCCCAGGACAGCTGGCCTCCTGTGCTGGTAGGCAGGGACAAGGAGCAGAATAGACTCCCAGAGATCCAGGAGGAGGTAATTAGTGACCTGCTGTGCCACTTAGATGCTCACAAGTCTATGGGACTGGATGGGATCTATCCTAGGGTGATGAAGGAGCTGGCAGAAGAGTTTGCTTTAGGTTGAGTTGGACATTAGGAAGAATTTCTTCACAATGTTCTTTTTAGACATTGGAACGGGCTGCTCAGGGAAGTGGTGGAGTCACCATCCCTGGAGGTGTTTAAGAATAAAGACTGTACGTGTCACTCCGTGCCATGGTCTGGTTGACAAGGTGGTTTTCAGTCACAGGTTAGACTCGACCTCAGAGATCTTTACCAACCTAAATTGATGCTGTGATTGCGTGGGAAGACCTCTGTGACAGACACGCTGTCCCGGTCAACTCGGTGCCCTCGTTGAGGTCGGGCCGGCACAGCAGGTCCGGGCTCAGGGCACCGGGAGGAGACCCCACACCTCTCCCCGGGTCAGAGCACCACTGGGGGACTCCCGGAGGCCACATCGGAGGGGAGCGAGCCGGAGGAGCCCCTCGGGGGGCAACGCGTGGCACAAGAGATACCGGAGCCCCGTGGGATCCTGCCCGCTGCCAGTCTCGGAGAGCCGGGGCGGGGGGATGAAGGAGGAGGAGGAGGAGTCTCCGGCGGCGCCCGGGAGCCGCTCGGAGAATGTCTCCGTCCCACTCCTCCTCCTCCTGCCCCTTTGCCGCGCAGCCCTGGGCCGGGAAGAGCCGCCGTTCGGAGCATGGGGAGCTGCTGGCTGAGCCTCGCCGCGCTGCTCGCCCTGGGCGCCCGGCCCAGCCTGGAGTACCAGGGTAGGGAAGGGAAGGAGAGGGGCCGGGGCAGCGGGGCCGGGAGCCCCCCGAGGGCGCGGGGAGCGTCTCGTCCCGCTGGGCCGGGGGGGACGCGGCATGAAGTTCCGATACAGAAATATCAGCACAGAGGTACCGCTTTCCTCCGAAATCAATGCTCACCTCCTTTTCCTGTGCCAGAATTTTGCAGCGGCATAAGCTCATGCTTTCTCAGAATCTCCCTTCAGGGAGATTTTAATATTCTTATTAGGAATATTAAAAGCCAAATGACCCATTATGTTAGTAACATAAAAAAAATACACTAAGGTAGACAAAGCAATGAGTTACCAGTCCTGTTTCCTGACATACTTTATTTCACACTCTAAAGTGCTCTTTGGGTTAAGGACAGTTTACAGAAGCTGAAGATATGGCCTTATACACACAAAAAAAGGTTGTTGTAAAATGATTTTCTAAAATATATCTTTTAATGCTCCACTAAGCGATGTCACTGTGTGCCACATCTAGGCATCTTTTCAATACCTTCTGGGATGGTGACTCAACCCCTTCCTTGGGCAGCCTGTTCTAGTGCTTTTGACAACCCTTTCTCCTAATGTCTATTTTAAACCTTCCCTGCCACGACTTGAGGCCATTTTCTCTCATCCTATTGGTTTTTACCTGGAAGAAGAGACTGACCCACCCCTCTCTACAACCTCCTTTCAGGTAGTGGAGAGCAATGAGGTCTCCCCTCGGCCTCCATCTCTCCAGTCTAAAAACCCCCAGCTCCCTCAGTCACTCCTCATAAGACTTATGCTGCAGACCCTTCACCAACTTCGTTGCCCTTCTCTGGACATACTCCAGCATCTCAATGTCTTTCTTGTTATGAGGGACTCAAAACTGGACAGTCACTGCCCTGGTCCTTTTGGGCACACTATGGCTGATACCAACCAGGATGTCATTTGCCTTCTTGGCCACCTGGGCACACACTGGCTCATATTCAGCCACTGTTGACCAAATTAGTGCTATATTTGAGACTTCAAGTTTCAGCAGATCAAAAACTAGAACACTGACTTTTGCTGCAAATTTTTACGGTATCTACCCCAATTTTATGTAATCCTTATAAACCCTGAGCTAAAAGCATGAGAAAGAAAAAGAAGGATGAAGAAATTCAATGGTATAAATTGACAATAGTATCGCCTAAAAATTTAAACTTTTATTAATGGATTCTGCAGGACTATAAGTACAATAGATATGAAACTCTTCAGTCTATCTGGTGCTAAACTAGGGAGCACAGCACTTCTGTTCAAAGAAAAACCCCTTATTGCAGGCTAAGTGCTGTAGCCTCTTGTACTTAAGTTCCTGAACTTGTCCTGTCTCAGGGCAGTAAACTAAAAAGTTTCCGATTGGTTTAATGAACTACACTGTTGCTGTCTGTTGTCTGTTGTCCGTGCTGGTAATCCCAGCAACCCGGGTCAAGGTTTTACAGTAAATAACTCTGTGAATGTTTATTTGTGGTTGCAGACTTTAATGTTATGTTTCTCACTTAATAGTGCTTTGTTTTTCCTTTTAACCTTTTTCAAAAGAAACCTTTAAGTCTTCTACTGGTATTGATTTTTCTTTTGTGCATTTCTGTTATTATTTTAAAACTTGTGTTGCTGCTGCTTGCCAGAATCAAACGATCCAGTGAGAAAATGCCTGATTTCAGTTTAGAGAACGTGCAAAGTTTTCTTTGTTGTAGAATCAAGGTGGCTAAGCAATTATCAATAGCTCTTCCATTCTGGAGATTTCTGAGGTGAAAAGGTAGAATGGAAGGCTTGTTTTCCAGTTAAAGTCCATGTAATATCTGAAAGGTTTTACTGTGGAGGTTACCTACCTACTTGAGAGATTTTGTTTGCTGTGACCTGAATTGGCGTGCCGGACAAGTTTGGCGAAGTTTTGGATCTTGTCTGAAATGGTGTCTTTTTATCTGCTCAGGGATCCACAGTGCACAAAGTAGTAATGTAGTTAAGAAAGTCAGGTTTTGAGCAGAACTGAGGGACAGCAGAAGTCCTGTTAAAACTTCATCTATCTTTTGTCTTCTCTGGCTTGGCAAACATGGACAAATTGTTTGTGACTTTTATGTAGCAATGGAAGTACTCTCCTATCAAAGCTTTTTCAGACTTAGTAACAATCAGGCAAAGGGGAGGATGATAAGATCCTAGAAATACAGAAAGTATCTTGCTCAACACCTGTTTTGCTCAACACGTGTTGTGTGCAAATGTGGACATGTCATTGTAATCTGTGCTCATTAAAGAATGTAGCTCTGCTTCCTCCCCTTTCTTTTGAGCTGACCAAGGCCCCTGGCCAGGAGAGCAAATGCTGGGCTGTAAGTGTGGAGTTGGAGTTGTGGGGAGAAACTGAGAACAGCAGCCTCCACTGGGTGTAGGATGTGGTGCTAAAGCAGAGGAGTACTTCATCAGATGTTTGATGTTGGATGTAAACATCTGTAGTCAATTTTGGGTGGGTTTAGCATTGAACAAGTGGTCTCCTTGAGGCTACTAAGATCACTTCAGGAGATACTTAAGTGTTTTGCTGAATGAGAATGGGCTTGGAGTCTAGTTTCAGGACATTAGGGATGGATTTGACAACTACAAAACACAGGCAAAACTGATCCTGAAATGGTCTGATTTTGGTTTCGCATAAATGAGTAACTTTTGTGTATTTGAGTGTCCCCTTTAGCTTGCCAGTTTGAAAAACAAAAGTAAATGTGTCATCTTAATAATGAATTTCTCTTGTACGAGGACTTTTATTTTGTCAGAAGGCTTACTGGCTTACTGTCATAGCTCCTCCTGCCTTGTCTGGCAGTTCTATGATGGGTTTATTCAGCACAGACTACTGAGCTCACAGTGACAGATGTCTGCTATGTGTTTTCTATGAAAATTCTTACAGTTTCTTTACGAATCTGCACCCCAATACAATGTACGTAAAGAAAATATTTCCCACACGTCTCATTTATACAGTTATAAAAATGTGGTGATATTTTGTGAATGAAGAATTCTTTTTCCCCCCAACATAAACAGAATAATCTGAGTCATAGATTAAATTAAAAATGCAAGTGTTACTTCATGCATTTTTCTTACCATCTACCAGAACAAAGTCTACAGCTGTTTTTTACAGGAAGCTGCTATACCCTGGGCCATGATGTGGGACATCTGCAAAGCAGCTCGTTCTTGTCATTCTTCCTCAAATACCCAGTTTCTGAACTGTGGTAATTTTAGCACTTCCAACGCAGAACAATGCTTTGTCCTTACATGGCTCAGTAGCCAATTTTGAGCGTATATGAAGCAGAAACACTTTGATTTATGGCTGAGAAAATGGAGATGAAATGGTGATTTGCTCAGGGTCACTGGTGGGGTGGCACTAGTGGGAAATGAGGTGGCAGGTCAGGCCTGGTGGCTGCCAGGAGAGCAGCTGTCTGCTGACACAGGATGGCTTTGTTGGAGGGCTGCTGTGTAACTCAGGTGTACAGCCTGGTGTGGGTGGGTGAATTCGGAGAGAGATAGGGGAGAGACTACCAGGTCCAGTGTGTGTCCAGTGCCAGAGGGAAGAAGGTCATGTGGAGACAGGAGAGAATCTGGCACCTCTGGGTGAGGTGGTGCTGGTGTGCCCAGGGCAGTGATGTGGTTGTGATGTAGATACGTTCTACCAGAACCAACCCAGCTCTTCAGGGACAGCCCTTGGGGTTAGACTAGTTCTTCATGGCATGGCCCAAGGCTGTGGGTGATGCCCAAACTGTCCCGGGTGCCCCCAGTTTGTGCAGGCTCTGCTTGTGTTGGCTGGTGGGCTCCCTGTGGGAGTGAGAATGTCCCGGAGCAGGGCAATGACGACCTTTCTTGTGTCCCCAAGCCAAGCTTGTTGTGGTTATTAATAAAAGACTGCTTGTTAAGAAAGAGACACAACTCGCTTCTCATTTTGAGCTAGAAAATGAGCTGGAAATTGGAGATGCCAAGCTCCATCAACGAAACCCCGTTTCAGGGCAGAAATTATTCAATGAATAACTCTTTAAGGCCAGCTTTTGTTAGAAGATGTTCAAGAGCCGTTATTGCTTCTTGTCTGAGGATCATTATTTCTTGTCTAAGGAAAGGTAAATATGTAAGAGCTCATATAATTCTAAGATTTACTAATTTTAAATGCTAAATTCATTGCACACTAAATTTTGGACAATTAAGAGTGATAACACTGAGGTAACAGTTTTATAACCCTCAAAGTGAGTAATGAGTAATTAGCTAAGAGTATCCCAGTTTTTGACAGAAAAATTGATATTTAAGAGAGGTGTTCATTTACATATCAAGGTCTTCACGAAGCCTTCAGGGATCACGGGTTGATCTTTATGCTATACTGTCAGGCTTCAAGTGCAATAAATTTTGGTTTTATGTTCAGAAGTTTCTCAGATGTCAGTGTTTAGGCATCAAAAATTCAACCGCAACAATAAATATAAAAAGTCCAGAGAAATGGCTTCCAAGTGATAGGAAACCTTTGTTATATGTAAACCACTTGATTTCAGAGGAGAAGCTGTTGAGAAGTTCACTTGATCACGTCCCAGCTCAAAGCTTTCTGAAAGCTGATGTAAGGATTCCCAGTGATAACAGCAAGCTTTGAATCAGGCCCAAGGTGAATTGTGGGAGTTTGTTAGTTTTATGGTACATGTGAGCACAACTTTCCAGATTTTTCATGTTCACATAATTGCAGTTTTGGTGCAAGAATTTGGTCTGATGTGGAGCGCATGGATCTGGCACTTCCCTGCAGTTCCCTGAAGGAGCTGCCCAGTGCTGCAGGCTGGTGTGTCCCAGGTGCCAGCACCCAACACAAAAGTAACATGATGAGAAGGGTCCTGGGAGATGCAGTCTCACCTTCAGGTGGTCAGAACCCTTGTGACCTGTGGAGGGCACTGCCCTTCTTTAGACCAACCCTTGTACAGACCATGGTCTCTTATGTCAGCAAATGGCAGTGAAATACCCCCACAGCTGTAATTTGAGATACCATGTATGAGAAGGTCCTGTAGTGTAGTGCTGAGCCCCTGAGTACCTGACTGTTGCATGCAAGGTTTTTAGAAAGATTTTTCAAAGGGGGAATTTGCATGAACCCTTCTTTGTAGAAAGGACTTTCGTAGTATTTAGACTAGACCTCATGCTCTGAAGCCACTGATTTTAAATAAATATTGCTCAGGGATATTTTGAAGGCTTTCTTGCCAACTGCTGGGTTTTATTTGTGAATTACTTGAATAATGGTGTGCTCTAAATGGTTTCTGGTTTCTAGGAAGGAGTTTCTACCTCTATTTTAAGTTTTTAGCCATTGCACAGGTTTTTAAAAGTATAGAACTATACTGCCTCTTTATTTGAACAACTCCATAAAAATTTTTGAAACCAAACTGTGTTTTTGATCTGAATGTAACTTGTATTTGCAGGTAACATACCTCCGGGTTTTGTTCTTGGTGTGAGGATCATACAGGTTGTTAAAGAGGGTTGTACTTGAGTTATGCACATTTTACTTCTGCTATTTGGCCTGATGGTTGTTAACAGCCACTGACACTAAAGAACCACTTTATAGTGAAACTTTTGATGTGCCCCCTCACCTGTACCTCCTCTGTTCTCTCTGCTCAACTACATGACAACTGGGCTTTCTGTAATAGAAGAACTGTGATTTGACATGTGCAAGTTAACGTTGCACAGCATTGCTCTAAGAGCACTGGGAGAAATTTACTATTTCACCTGATTATCAAATCAATTTGCCCCTTCCAGATTCACTATAAACTGGGTCTGCTATGGTTCTGAGCTTCAGAGAAGCCTATGCTCATGACATTGCATAGATTATTGCATCCTAATCTTGCATGTCTTTTCTCAAATCTTTCTTTTATTCTTAATTTATATTTCCTTTCTTGCTGCAGTTTTTTTTTCTCTTATTTTGTATTGTAGGATCGGGATACTCACCCCTTGAAGATGACGAGGATGTGTATGCACGCAATAGATATAAAGGTGAATGTTTTGCTTATGTGCTAAAGAGGATCAGCTGGTTACTGAGAGAAAGCTTCGTTCTTTTTCTTTTCCTGGATCAGAAAATCTTGGTGATCTAGCTCCATGTTTTTTCTCATGGATTTTTACATCCAGATTTAATTTCTACTGTTTTTAACAATGGAAATTAGACCAAGTACTGATCACAGCTCTCTTATGCACCTGAGTAAGTAAATTCTGCCCTACCTTTGCTCCGGGAAGATCGGGTTGTTAAATCATGAAAATCAGAAAGAGCTTCTCTTTCTTCTTCATACATCCCAACAAAACCATCAATGATAAGCTGACTCAAAACCTGGGCTTACTGATGGTGATGTATAGAAGTATGTGCAAGAGAACTTGATTTTCATTACTTTTTTTTTCTGATAAAATTGTTTGCCTTTCATTTTAACCTGCTAAGTGAAATGCCAAGTGAAATGTGTTTAATGAATGAATGCATACATTTAAAAAATAAATGAGTAGCTGGATAAATGAATGGACTGGCATGTTTAGAAAGCAAATTCAGGTTTTCTTCCCTCTTCTGGAAGACTTTGCTATTCAGCAAAACTAAGGCCTTTTTTTGCCACTACCAGTAAATCTTCCACTTGCTATGTCCATTTTCTTAAAAAGTCTGCTTCTGTCTCAATACCTCTCTCCTCTGCCAAAATCCCTCAGGAGCCCAGACAGTAAAGAAACTTGGCATTTAATTTGTCACTTTAAATGGTAACTCTGGGTTTTTTTAGTGAATTGATCTGTGGACATGTTAGAGTTGTAATAATTTTGATTACTTGAAAATAGTGGTCATCAGTGCCTTGTTGTACGTTACTGATTCTCTGCAAAGAATCAATGGACCGTGTAAGAGGTAAGTCATAAAGTAATTCAGACATTTATGAACAACAAAGGGAAAAGCACAGCTGTTATGTCTGTGTTGCTGTTTTCATAAATGTCTCATGTTCCTTCCAGTAAAATACTTCAGTATGACATTTTGCTTTCAAACACATGCACAAATATTTCTCTAAAGCTTTATTTAGGTAAACTCATTTTTCTTTGCCTTTTAACATGAGGTCCTCTGCAGACACATAGAAAAAGAATTCCAGAGACCATGAAGATAAATCAATGCCAGTTCATGCCAGGGCAGGCAAGTAGTTAAAATGTGGTTCCTTTATAATTTCCTTTTATATGGTGATCCAAAATGAATTATACTCATGTCAGCCAAAATGTCACCAGGGTAAGTGAAACATAATGACTCGTTCACACAGATATTAAAAACTGCCCCAAGTTTGGAAGCACTACTGCCAAATGTTGAGGAACAGACAATGTGAATCTAAGAGTGTAAAGCACTGGAGTAGAAAAGGCTCAGTCTTCATTAGCATACTTCTTTATGTTGGCTTTGAGGGAAAGGGGTGGAGAAAGACAAAGCAAGAAAAATGGGCTGTGTAGTAATGTTCAGAGCTTCTCCTCAGATGTCCAGTCCAGTATTTTGGGTGTGACCCATTGCTCAGCAAATAAAGCTTCCCAGTAACAAATAACTAAATGGATTTTCTTCACTGATGTTTACATACATAAGCAGCATTGGCTTTCTTCTTTGCACACATACTCACTAAACATTGCCAGCAAGCACACAAATTCATCCTCTTTGACATCTGCAAACAAAACATTGCAGTTTACTGGGAGGGGTGAAAATCGACCTCCTACTAAACCCTTTTGTCTTCATCTGGATGTTTGTCCACTTTCTCAGCTTTCCAGAGAAACGTCGCCAAGATTTTCTGTGCCCACAGCATTTTTAAAGAGTTTTCCCTTTCCTCCCTGGTGAACCTTCAGCTCTGTTGGCTGCTGTACCAGCAAGCAACAGCACAGCTGGTCACTTTGCATGCTGCTTGTGAAGGAAGTGCTCAGCTGAGGCTGGTGTTTAGACAGGACCAAGGAGTTGGGGAAACGATGCCCCAAAAATGCTTTCCTTCCTGCCGCTTGACATGGCTGTCTGTGATCACATTTCATGAGAAAGGGCTTCCTGTGTGCAGCATTTTCTGTGTTCATCACAGCTGAAGTGCCACTGCTCTGGTGATCCTCATTCTTAATGGGTTTTCTCAAATACTGTACTGATCACACAGCCCCAGCTGTAGAGGCAGTACTGGGACTTCAACCATTTCTGCTTGCTGCCTGTTTTTCAGTGTTTTCAAACACAGCATTGACCCTCTGAACTGTTTTACTACCAAGTGATAATTCAGGCTATTGTGTCACTGAGGAAATTTCTAGTTCTTTCTAGTTTGCGCTAAGGCACAAAGCACAAACTTTTTATTAAACAAAGAAACAGTACATAGGTCCTAAAAATTCAAATTTCAGTTAAGGGAACAGAGCCTGGTATAGATGGTGAAGTTTCAGAAGATATGCCTGGGAAACCTGCAACTTTTCTAATTCCCAAAGCCTTCAGGAGCATGGCTGAGCCTTGCCTTGAGGCAGGGAACAGCTTTGTGACCTCTCAGGGCTCCACATAGACCTAATATTCTACAAGTACTCTGTGTAGCTGCTTAGCCTGTGAAAAACCAATATGTGCCTTCACTAAAAATCAACAAACTTTGATCTCAAACATTGTTGTATCGTTTGATGTGTTTTTCAAGTTAGCTGGGTTTTTTTTCCCAACAGTATCAGTTGGTCTAAACCCAGATACTTGGCCCTTGTAAACCCTGCCTCACCCAATTTCTTCTAATCACAGTCAGTTCTAGAGTATTATGTTTTAGATCAAACAGATGTTCCTTCTAAGTTCTGCAAGTTATTTGCATCCAAAAGCGTGTGTGCTGTTGTTTTTCTTTCTGACAGTATCATTTAGTCCAGTTTAAGATGTATTTTACCCCTCCCTAAGAGCCTTGCTTTGTTTCTCTCTGTAGACCACTGTAGCTGCAGTGGCACTACAGGAAAGGCATTTTCTTTTTCAGTATTGTGTTTGTGCATTAAACTGCATTTGTTAGATGTTGGCCATTTTTTCTTTTCAAAATATATGTGCAGCTGTTTACTCGGGGAAAGTGTGTTTGTAAAACCACAAAAATTTACAGAAAAACTCAGGCAATTTGCAATACCTGAAAGAGCTGCTTTGCCTTTTTTATTATTATTATTACCCTATTGATCATGTTGCATAGCATATTTGTCTTGACACCCTTTACAAAGGAAATCAGCATGTGGATGTGCATTTGTAGTTTATACATGTGGAAAACCTGAGGCATAAATATCTTGAACTGATTTGCTGAAGGATTACCTAATTGGTTGGGGCCAAAGCTCGGTCCAAATGAGTTCCCCCAGTTCTGCCCCTTCAGTTATTGTTGTCTTAGTACCTTCAGATTTAAACCCTTCTGCAGAAAAACTGAGGTCCTTAGTGAAGGAGATCCTACATGCTCAGGTTTGTAAAAAAATGGAAGTTTAGGGTGTCCGAGCATTAGAAGAACAAGTGGGACAGAAAAGCTGGAAATTGTGGGCATGAGACCACTGAAGGGGAGATTATAGTAACACTGTTGTTAGCTCAGGAGTAGGAGGATTTCTCCAGGAGGTGAATTGTGTGGCTGAGCCAGAAAGCTGAACTGCACTCTACCCCTAAACTGCTGGGTGCTGCTAGACTGGCCTGCTTGTGTCCTATGCCTCAGTTACTGTGTATTTGGTGACACTGGGAATAACGTCACTTATACATCTTTGTGAAGGGTTTTCATGTGTATTGGTGAAAGACAAAAGTAAGCATGTCACAGTAAAATATGACTGCTTCAGAAACAGACTAGTCTAGCGGAATGTGCCCTTGGTGTAGTCCAAAACTTGATAATTAATCTCTGTCGATGCTATTTGTGTTTACTCAGGACCAACACAGAAAAATACAGATGTAAAATGTAATTTCTATTGTGGAAGTGTAAATACGTCCTAGAGACATTGTGCTCTGAATATAAATATCTCATGTACGAGAAATAAAACAGGCTGTATTGATTTTTGTTTATTTATGTGTGGAGCTGATCCAAATAGTGTAGGAAAATGTACATAATAACCAGAGGAATCAAGAGCTAGAAGTGAATATCTGCCAAAGATGATCTAGAAATTATTTTTAAATGTCTCTTGTGACTTTGTGAGGATGAAGGCTAAAAGTCTTTGTGTTTTGTTTGTTTGGGGGCTTTTTTCCATCTTTCTTGCAAAATTCAGACTGTTTTTCACGTCCCTCCTGCATGTCACACATTGTCACACAGGATTTCAGGACCTGTCATCTTTCTCTTTTTGCCTTACAATCCCACCCTCCATCCCTCCCTCCTTCTGTCCCAGTATGTCCTTTTCAAATCATGGAGCTGAGAAAGGGGCAGGCTTAGTCACTTCCTTGTGTAGGAAATTCCTACTGAGAAGCTGCCCATTTTCTTGGTGCACCCTGTTGTCAAACCTAAACAAAGGATGTGAAACTTTGCCTGGGAAGGGAAAATCTCTGCTTGATACTTCACCAATCAGTATCAGAGTATGGTGTTAAATCCTCACAAGAAGATGGTACCCATATCCTGAATATTTTAAAGTGTAGCCCTGACCAGTTAATAAAGATGCAGTTTTATGTACATGTGTTTCCCTTTTCCTCATTAGTTTGGTAGGAACATTAGCTGTGAAGTCACATCCAAATTCCAGCTTTCCTCTGACTTGGCGGATCCATCCATATCACTGTCCTGCATGCAGGAGCAACTAGAAAGTGGTACTCATACTTCAGACTACATTTCCATGATATTAGGTAAAGGTCACCACCCATCTTTGGAGGTCAAGAGTAGGACACATGATGTTCGGACCTTTGAGAATATTTAGAACTTAATTTAATTTTACGCAGCTTGTGTTCCCATTTCTGAATATGTGCTAAATAGATAGTATGCTTGTGAATGAACATTGACATCCTCTAAAGGATTTGACAGTAGTGCAGGAGTTTGTGCTGTCAAATATATGCTTTATATGTATATATATATATGCTTTTGTGCATATGTGTAGCCAAATGCATATTGCCCTTTGAAGCTATAAATTACTACCAAAAATAGAGGGATAAAGTTAGATTTTTCTGGAAAACTCTTCACTTGTCTGTTGGATTGGACACTTGCCTTCAGATTTAGAAGGCTATTTTATTTGTAAAGAGTATTTGAATGCTTCATTGTGGCACTACTGAACTGCTGAGAAGAGCAGGGGAGCAGCTGCTCTAGGACACTTCACACGTTTCAGTTCAGGCTTAATCCTGAGCGCTAACTTTGCAAAATTGGAGCTGTTCTTAAACACTGAACGGTTGTTCTGGCACATGGAGGATGTGTACACATGAGCTTGTCATTGGCAATATGATTTATGTAGGTGACGTCCGTTCTAACTGTGGGAGAGCTTGAACCGTCACAGAGTTCTGCCAAGGCACTGTCCTTGCTGCACAAATTGTTATGGAAGTGGAAGACCTTTTTTTGGATGAGCACTAAGAGAGCTAAGTGTAGAAAGCTGACAACTACAGCTAGACCAAAGGTGTTCCTAATGCAAACTTTTCTTATCAAAGAGCAGTTAGATGTGTCTACTTGAAAACAGGAGGGAAAAACATTCCAGCTGTCATCAAACTGCCCACATGGTGGCACACTTATTCCATGGACAAAAAGCATAGTAAAACCCCACTTATCCTCTCAACCCCTTCCAATCTAATGGTTACAATCTTTAATGTTTTTCATAAAAAAAAGCTGCTGGTCTTTGGAGGGCTGACATTTGGATGTGTAAAACTTATTGCACTTCCCTGCAATGTTCTCCACTTTGAGGATTCGTGGCTTTTAAATTAAGATATTTTTTCCCATTTCTTCTCTGTGACCATGAATAAACAAATTGATTTTATGTTTGTTTCTGAATTTTTACATTTTTCTAATTGTTACGTGTGGATTTTTTACTTCTCTGTGCCAGAAACACCGTGGTGCTCACCCATTAAAGTGAAACACGGTTATGCAAACTGCAGGACACCTCAAGGGGAATATTACAAGAATGTATTGGGCACAAGATGTGATATTCGCTGTCAAAAAGGCTACGAACTGCATGGCCCTCACCAGCTAATTTGTCAGTCAAGCAAACGCTGGTCTGGGAAAGTGCTGTGCAAACGTAAGTGGCTATGAAATCTGTGTATGTGGCTTATGCTGCAAGTTCAGTAGACAGTAAATTTTCATTTGTCTTTGAAACTGATCTTTGGATTGTTACTGATTTTTAAAGATTGATATAATATAATTGGATGCATATATTAGTTTGTTGCTGAGAGGTACATGGCATGATAACTATCTGAGTGGTACAAATGCCTGTGGCAGATAGGGAATGTTTTATGAGTGTGGGATTTTGATTTGTGGAAATAGTTTCATGACAGAGTCATAAAGCTGCTTTAAAATATTGTCCATCTTGGACTTTCAAAGTTGACACAAGTTGTACCAGTGTCTAAATGGGATCTTGCATTAAAACATTTTCTGAGAAGAGAGGAATAGGTACTTGTCATCCCTTTTCTCATATAAATGTTATATTAGGCCACTAATGCTTATGTAGAGCTAAATTTCAAATGCTTCTAATAAGAACAGTTTGGAAAAACCTACAGTGAACAACAATTTCTCCCACTTGTCATTTGCCAGCTGCATCTTTATTTCTGTGTAATACCCCACATTCCCATTACTCTAAAGGGGGAAAATAACAGGTTTCCAGAAGTCTTTGTTTCCTTTTCCAGAAAAGCGCTGCCCCACGCTGTCCATGCCGACCAACGGGGGCTTCAAGTGTTTGGATGGTGCCTACTTTGGCTCAAGGTGTGAGTATTACTGCTCTCCAGGATACCAGCTGAAGGGAGACCGGATAGTGACGTGCATGGACAACAAAGCGTGGAGTGGCCGGCCAGCATCCTGCGTTGGTAAGTAGGATACAGGGTCTTCATCCTGGGAAGTCCACATCTTGAGGTATTTGCTAGTGCCCAACTCCTGCAAATAAACTCCAAAATGTCTTTTTATCTGGCTAATGGGGAGAAAAAAAGCAACTGTCCCTCTTAAGGAAGCAGGGAACAGTTTTCCAAGGGATGCAAAGTTCTGTCACTAAGTACTTTGTCCAAAGTGAGTACCCTTCTTACACACAAGCTCAAAGTATTACCACTTTAATAAAGATGAGGCTGGTGTAAATGGTCAGCACTTTTCAATGCTTCGCTGATCTCCTGGGTGACTCCTTGGTAGCCTGTAATTACTATGCTGCTTTTCTGGAATGTTCTCTGTGCTGGAGTTCTGTCACGCTTTCTGCAGCCTAATGATAAAAAAGGTCTGAAACTAAACCCATTGTCTGACCTGTTATTTTTCTTCCTAGGGATCATGGTCTCCAAGTATATCCAAGGAATATAAATTGATTGTAGTTACCAGCATAGTTGCAGCTAATTTAAATTTCAGCCTACTTCATGTTACTTATGCCAGCAATTTTCATTATGTAGTCAGTGGTCTCCTGGGAACCTCAGCTGGAATAAGTGTTTCTATATACATAAACCAAAAGAGAGATAAACAAATATTGAAATTTAACTTTCCTGACTACTAATGAAATTTCAGCAGATAGTGGAGTCTCAGCTGCTGGCTGCCCTTTTTCTGGGAAGCCTCTGATAAAAGCTTCAGCAGCCACCCACAAAGGAAAGTATTTTTTTGGCCATCTGAATTGGCTACCAGTAATTTCAGCTTGTGGGTGGTAGACTGTTTGTGCTCAGTGTTTTCTGTGTAAGATAACTTGGTTTTCCTCAGAATGCCTGTGGCTCAGTCTAGGTTAACAAATGGTTTTGGAGTCTCTCCACTGTGGCCTGATTTTTGTAAAATTTTGTTCAGGTTTCCTGTTATTTGGTGTTTTACAAATGTAGAAATGAGATGCTTAGGTCTAGGCTGTTTGTGGTATCTCTTGTTTTCATTTACAAAAACAAGCTTTGTCCTTCTCAGTAGTGTGGGCAGAGGAAGCAAAACAAACCCTTTTAAGTTTGGAAATGGTAAAATATTATCTTCTGTATTTCCTGGCAATTTCAGAACATCATCTGTTTGCAGCAATGGGGTGTTTGTCACAAAAGGATGCTGTCTTGCAAAGTAAAGTAAGCAAGTATGTTTTAAGCAAAAGAAAAAGAGGCTATGTCAGCACTAACCCCTCTTTTTTATTCCAAAAGTGCAGGGTACCTGTTGCAAAGGGTGTGATTGTAAGACCCAAGTAATCCAGTAAAAGTAATCCTATGACTTAAGTTCTGGTAATGCCACACAGGGTGGAGAAAGCCCCTTCAAACCTTGTGTGCACACAGTTCCTATATGCAAATAGTGAGGTATGAAGTTAGCAGATTGTTTAATAAGGTTATCTTTTGACCTCCTGATAGGTAGTATAGAAAATTTCATGTGACTAAACATAATTCCACAGTTTTTGGCATTGAATATGTCAAAAATTACTGCAGACCTGTACTTGAAATGCTCTGGGAAACAAGGGGCTTTCCTCTACCCTTTTTTACTGCCCTGCTTAGCATTTTTGCACAAAATTATGTGGGCTTCACAGTGGAGTAGTGAAGATCCATGTAGGAAAGTCATAAGGCCTTTCATTGATAAAACAGGTATTCATTAAAAGGGTGAAAAAGATATATTTTTTGAATTACTGAAAATTAGGTCAGTTTTAGCAGTCACAGAAGTCCTTACAGATAGTGAGTATTCAGGCCTAACAAAGCAGAGTGACTGTCTACTGTCCTTCATTCATGTTGCTGAAATAATTTTGATTAAAACAGATCAATGTACAGCTGCTTTTGGTTATCAGTTAGCTGAAAATGCCAACTTGAATAATACTTCCGCTATAACCCTAATGCACTGTAACATACATTGAAATACATATTTTCTTCTAGAAAACTGAAAAATGTCAATGTCTTTTCTTCTAGAAGGGTTTCCTTTTCCTGCTGATTCTATAACAGAGGTTGTGGTAAATGTTTGTCACCATGCTAAGTCATCCTCTTCTCACATCCTAAGGCTGTATTGATAGGTAGTTACTAACAGCTTCCATCTGAAACAAGCTTTGCAGTCTGAGTCAGTAATCACACAGGCCTTGATAATGGATGTTTTGAAATACAAATCAATCCCTTGTGCGGGTGGGTGGGGAGAACAGGACAATGTTTTTCATTCTCATTTTTTATGATTTCATCTCTTTACACTTTTGATATGGACTAATGTTCTGAACTAACTTCCAGCCATTTTTTTATGTCATCAGCAATAACAGCATATTCATGGAACAACAGGCAGCTTACTCATCCCATACAGGCTATTGAGTAAGCAAGCAGTGGGAATTGAGAACCATCCCTCTGTTTCTTTCCTCTTGCCATCCCAAATTCACAAGCAAATAAATGTAAACCTTTACAAACTGTGAGAAAGAACGTTAACAAGCTCTTTAAATTTTGTTGAAATTATTAATATGGCCAATTCCTGGAGTATGCTTTAAAAAAAACCAAACAAAACACCCAAACCAAAACAAACAAAAAACCCCCCAAACCAAGCAAACAAAAAAACCACAACCAAAATATAAAACCTATTTGAAAACTTTGCATTTTTCTCCACAAAGTTCAAAATGCTGATTTAAAATTGAGTGTTCCACTGCTGAACTCCTGATGCCATGTCTGCAATGCCACTTCCCCACATGGAGCCAGAGTACCAGTTGCTGCTGCCAGATAGCCAAGAAAAATGACAGCTTGAAAGAATGTGGCTGAACAGTGCCACATTTTTAATGAAAACTCAATCTCCATGTCCATGATTTAAACCTTGCAGGCAAGATTCTGACATTTAATACATAGCCCTGCTAAACAGCTTAAATAAATCTGCTTGGCTTTTCATTGGTGTTTCAGCACTGACATTGCAGTAAAAGCTAAGACTTGCTGTACCAAGTCAGAGACCTTTGCAGCGTGTCCTGGCTCCAAGTCTGCCCAGGAATACTTATTAAATAAGGGTCTGACACTCCAGCACTTACAGGACAGTTTTTCCCTCTGATAAAACCTCTCCAGCAGTCAGCAACCTTGTGGGTTCCTCTGTTGGGGTTTGTTTTGGAACCAGTTTAGTTTTCTGACCTGCAGGTGAGCACCTTGCTCACATCATACATTTTACTGAAGGTTTTCTTGGGGTAGTTGTGTTTCAGTTTTGTCACTTGTGCGTTGCCTGGATGATCTCTGGTCACCCTCTCTGCATTTAAACGGGCTGGGGTTTTTTTAGACATGTCTTCCTTTGGCCAGGCTGTGACCAGAGTACTTAATGTGCTGTAAATTGGCCATAACTTTGTACAAGGGAATGAGAAAAAAGAGCAGTGAGCACTGTTTGGTGTTTAAGACATCCCGGTAGAGACTGCAGCTAAAAACCTCTTTGGTGGACAGCTGCTTTCTCTTGATCTGTTTCAAAGCAGAGTTATTCTGTCTGGATTTATTTAGTGCCTGTTGAATGCTAACAGGCAGCTGAAATGACCAAAGCAAATATCCTCCCCAGAAATGTTTAAGTCCAACTAAAAAGGCTGCCTGGCCCCTGGGTTCTTGGTGAGTTGGTTCCCCCAGTAACTGCATCGTTTGCCTTTACAGTGTGGAAGTCCAAGTTAGTTCGTACCAACCAGTCTTCTCTGCACTAAATAGCTTAACGAGCTTTCTGATTAATTAAGAGTTTAAAGCACTGGGTCCTGAAATGTTGCTCTAGCTTTTGTTCTAGCATCACATTTATTTGATTTATACTGTCCACAGTGGTGAGTGGTCACCACAGAGAACTAATCAGAACCAGAAGCAGCCTTGGTGAGGCTGGGTTATTTCTTGCCCTAATTCAGCAATGTAGCTTTGTAGAGGAGGGCAGAGCTCTCACAGGCTGCAGTGTCTGCAGGTTTTCACACATAATTGGAGGGTGCTTTAAAAGTAAGGGAATGACTAAGAAACACGAGGCATCGAGACAAAGTGTCAGGACTGGCAGTGAATGTAGCTGAAGACAAGCAGCTGTGCATCACCTTTATCCTCCATCAGGGATCTTCTGTCAGTATTACTGTTCCTTTGCTTCTGAATAGTAGTCACAGTGTCATGGTAGCAGTTAAACAGTCTTTCAAAACGTACCTACATTTTTTTTTTTGTATTACCTGTAAGGCATTATTATAAGAGTTATTCGGAAAAAACCAAACACAGCATTAATTTTCTGCAAAATGACCATTGTGCCAGTCTTCTGTTGTTTCTTGTTTTGCCATTTCTGCAGTAAAAATAATCAGTATGTTGAGAGTAACATGAAAAGTTATCATGCAGAGAGAAATGGACATTAAGTGTGCTTTAAAAATGCTCTTAATCACAATATCTACCTCACAGACAAATAAAGAGAAGAATGCGGATAAACAGAACAGAAGCTTCTTGGATACAATCTTTGACATCCCTCCTTGAAGTTCAAAGGTGTCCATTTGTTGGCATTACCTTTTAACTGATGTAAAGAAACGATGTGTTATATGATACTATACATACTATGTACTATAGTATGTAAAGAAATTTGCAATAACTTGTTTTAATTGGTTTTTTGCATTGCAAAGGACTGATCATTGTCAGCTCTTACTCTTCCTACAAAAAGGTGAGAAGTACAGGCTTCACATGCCTTGACTGGGACGTCCCCCGCGTTGAGGAGGCGAGGTGAAATCTAGGCCAGGTCCTGGGTTACACTGGGAAAGAGCTGTGAAGAAAATACATAGCTCCAACAGGTGCACCAGTGCCCATTTCTGTGACATTTATTTCAACAGACACTGAACCTCCGAGAATCCAGTGCCCAAGCGTGAAGGAGAAAACCGCGGAGCCCAACAAGTTGACAGCCAGAGTTTTCTGGGACACCCCGGAGGGACGGGACACTGCTGATGGAATTCTGACAGAGTAGGTGAAAATCTGTAGATGTTTGCATTTTCTCCTCCTTATTCCTTGGTTAGAAATTCAGCTGATGACAGTGGCCGGGTACTCTTTCCCTGTAGTTCATCCAAGATGCTTATTTTGACAACTTGGAGGTGAATTGTTCAGGAAGTAAATAGCAGATTGTTGTGGTTATTTTAGAGCTGATGTAATAAACAACAGCATTTTGATCTGTGAAATTTTCTGGAGCTCCTTTGCAGATCTCATAGTCAACAAGTTTTCTTACAGCAAGTTACCTTTTGTACATGATGAAGAGAGAATAGTGCACTGGAGGTAGCAACAGAGGCAAGTTTGACTGCCTTTAAAACAACCAAGGTAAATTGTGGCACAAAAAAACCCATCTTTAGCCTTCTTCCTGAACTAGTGCTGGCTACTGATGTCCCAGGGTTCTGCAGTTACCTTTAAAATAACATTCCTTGTTTGAAATTTTAATAACTTTAAACTTAACACTTCAAAATTTCTTTATCAATTTTTATGGTTTCACAGTTACATTTCTCAGAAGAGCAAGGTGTACCTGTTATGGTACTACTGCCTCTGATTTTCCCATTTTTATCATGCAGGATTTGTGTTAATCTGTTGAGATTATTGTAATGTAGGAGTATAGAACATCTGCTTCTTTCAATAAGCAAGTTACACTTTTCAGCGGTGTAATAGTGGGCTGATTAAGCTTAAAAGTTCAAAGTTGTAAGCGTAAAGATGTTCATACTTCATAAGAATAGAAAAAAGGTGTTGAAAGACACGATGATATTGCCCTTTTATTGTTATAAATTAATAATATTAGAAAGAAAAATTCATTGCACATTTAAAAAATATTACTGTAAAGGTCTGATCTGATAATTCTATGGCAATTAACAGCATTAAAAAATTACACCTGATAAAACAAAAATTTTGAAAATGACAAAATAAAGAAATTCCAAAGTCTTTTTGCCTGATAGAAAAAACAATGAGAAACGTCCCTTGTAGACTTTGTCATACAAGTAACTGTTGTCAGCTCAAAAGAGACAAACTCTTGATTCAGTGGAAGCTTTTCCTTAAACCACATCTCTCTTTTTATAAAGTCTTGCTAAACTGTGATGTTTTCTAGAGTATGCAGTGCTTTCCTTAAATGCCCAAGGTCCTGCGGCTCCATGGGTACATAAGCTTTTCAATTACATGGAACACTACTCGACCTCAGTGCCTCAATACTGAGGATATGTTTAATGTATCTGAATTCTCCTGTCTCATTTGCAGGACAGGGGCAAGTTCCAGGTGAAAATGCTGCTGTGGATCACCACACCCTTCTGGCTATCCCCAGTAGTCACACCATGTGTGTGTATTGTCTGTAGGAAAATACTACTGAATTTATGAATGTCTGTCCTGTATTATCTCCTGTTTTAGTGTTATTTTGAAAGGCCTGCCACCAGGGTCACATTTTCCAGAAGGCGACCACAAAATCCAGTATACTGTGTATGACAGAGCTGAAAACAAAGGAACTTGCAAATTTCTTGTTAAAGTCAGAGGTAAGAATGTTGTTTTACCCTACAAATACAGTCACTGATTTGCATCTGATTTAGCAGGCAATTTGAAAATGTCCTTATTTCCGTATTTATTTGCATATGTGTACACATATAAACCCATGCTGATGCTGAAAGGGAGAACACAGTCTTGCTCAAGACCCTGGGGGCCAGGTCTGCAGCAGGGTGCAGCATTCCTGCACATGAAGGAAGAGCTTCATTGATCACTCCTGCCTCCTCCCCCATACCCCTTCCTTCCTGCAAGCTTCTCGCTGATACCCAGCTTGTGAGCTGCTGAAAGAAAGATGTAAAGGAGTTTCTTCAACAGTGAGTCACGTCTGTCAAGCAGGGCTAGCCTTTCACAAGCCCAGATCTTCAAATTTGGATTTGAATCTACAGAAATGAACCCTGTAGGTTTTGGCTTCAGCTCTTCATGCTCCATGACCTTTTGTCACCATGATACCACAATCACATGCATACGCCTGTACATCTGTTTCACTTCAGTTTACATAAAAGATCAGGGTGGGGGTTGTTTTGGTTGGCTGGGGTTTCTAAGTACACGACCCTAATAATACAGAAAAGAAACAGAAAAATGTCCTCAGTACTGGTATTTCACTGGCCTGTGGTGCCCTCGTAGCAAATGGTGATTCATGCCTTGTCTTTTTGTTTGTTCGTTTGTTTTCTCTTGCTTGAAGTCAGGCGCTGTGTGAAATTAAATGCCCCAGATAATGGCTACATCAAGTGTTCAGGTGATGGAAATAACTATGGTGCTACATGCGAGTTTTCCTGCATTGGTGGCTACGAGCTGCAAGGAAGCCCAGCTAGAGTGTGCCAGTACAATTTGGGGTGGTCAGGAGTGGAGCCAACCTGTGCACGTAAGTGAGTATTTCACCACTTTACCAGAAGGACTGACAGAGAAATGGTTCTCAGGGCAGTGAGAATTTGGGAAGTGGGTGTGGGGTGGAATACAGCTGCAGCATCCCAGAGGTAGGAAACTTAATATCTTTTTCTCCTCTGCCAATTTGCACTTAGAGCTGAAGGCTTTGCCACTTTTGGCTGCTCTTTCCTATGGTGATGATGGTACCTCACAACTGATAGTTTGATTTAGCTCAAAGCTCTCTACAAAATGTCACATTCTGAAGTCAGTCCATCAGCCAGAACAATTTACAATAAAATTGTTGGCTTTGATGAGGCCAGTATTTCACCCGTATCTTCTCTATTACTGTTGCTTGTTCTTGTGTTTCTGCTGTCTAACCATGCTTGTAGAAATAGATCTCTTTCCAGTATGCTCTATAACTTTTGTTTTCATTTTAATTCTAGCCATGAATATTAATGTGAATGTGAGGACTGCAGCTGCGCTTCTGGATCAATTTTATGAGAAGCGGAGACTGCTAATTATTTCAACTCCTACTGCAGCCAACTTCTTCTACAGGATGCAGCTGGGAATGCTGCAGGTAAAACACATTTAAGGGGGGTGGGCAACTATTTTTTTTTTCTTTAAGGAAAGACACAAGAGGACAAGCTCCACTGTTTGATATAAAGCCACAAACTTCAGCTGTTATATTCCAACCAGTGGAGGATCTGACTGAAACAGTTGTGGTTTGAGATTAATCCTATTCACAGGAGTTTCAGTTGAAATATCTCCCCAGTCTCTAATTCAGCTTCAGTCTGGGTTGTGCTGCTTCTGACTGACCAGTCAGTGAATCCCAGGCAATTCTGCCCCTCCCATCATCCACAAATTAATTTAATATTAATTTGCACTCAATAATAATTCCCTCACTCAGCTGCTAAAGAAGTTGAAAAAAACCCCAACCCTCCAGCACTTCAGTGGATGCACTTCATGCAAACCAGGCTTACAGAATTTGTAACTACAATGTGAGGAAATGTGAGTAGCTTCAGAAATAAGTGCACCAGCAAACAAAAGACTAGAGACTCAGCACAGAAATTGTCCAGAGTGCTGAATATAACACTGGGGTATTTTGTTAAAAAAAAATTAAAATTTATTTTAATTGTCTTTCTTATGTGTTGTAATTGTGATGTGTTTGTTGGCTTCTTGCTAGAGATGTATCTCCAAAATGTATCTGTGTTCTCAGGGAAAGGAAGGAAAGGAACCGGTCCTGTATTCTTTCACAGCAACAAGTGCTTTTATCTTGTTTTTTTCTTCTCACAACTGTAACAAAATTCAGTATAAATAGTCATTGGGATATGTATGGGATTATGTTTTTAACTGCTGGCTTAAGTTACAGTTGTATTTAAGAAAAAGAATGCTTTTTTCCCCATTAGATAAACTTGCAAGAAAATTCAGTATATTTATCAAACTAAAATAGTTTAAGATACCAAATTTAATGGCTATAGTACATTTTCCAGTGCTTGACAGTGGGCAAATAAGTTGGCATGAAGGAATACTTTCTGCAGTCAACTTCTATTTCACATGCCTTGCTTTGATTGACAAATTAGATTACAGGGCTTAATACCCTGGCATCTTTTCACTACAAAGAGAAGTTTATACATCTCCTAGGTGGTCCCTGTGTGCTGGGTTTTTTAGAGTAGCTAAGAATCTGTCATTTACATTGCCTGCAGTCATGAGGCTCTAGTTCTTTGCCATGAAAATGAGAGAGTTTTCAAATTATGCTCTCAATTCAGTTTAAAACATCTCACTAACATAAGAAGATGGGACTCCATAAACGCTTACATCCCCCTGTTCTCTCACTGGTAACTAACACACCTGTTTCTTCTTTTAACCCTTCCAGCCAGCACAGTGTGGGTTAGACCTCCGACACGTTACCGTGGTTGAACTGGTTGGTGTGTTCCCAGCTCAGATAGGAAGAATAGGTGTAAAGCTGCTGCCTCCATCTCTTGCCCTGCAACTCAGGTAAAGGAACCTCTCACTACTGTTGTGTTTGCACCTTATCATACAAAATGCATTGCTTTTGTTTCCCTGCATCTTACTCTCTAAATATACATATTCTACTCTAATGTACATAACTAGACACTATATGGTAGATGTTGATGAGAATTCTTCGGGATTAGTTTGCTCTCTGTGTGATGGCTACTACAAATTCACAGGCAAATAAAAATATAATAAAAAATTTAATATTTATTTAATTTATTATCATTTTAATATCCCCATAGTCATGTGATAGGTCTATATTTTTGGGTGCTGCCACCGAAAACACTCCAGATATGTCTGTATTTGTGCTGGAGTTGGTCTGATGCAAACAGGACAGGCCACAGTCCCTTTGCCATGGAGCAGCTGCCAGGGTAGCCCCAAATGGTAGCAACAGCCCATCCTCTCTGTCCCAGCAGTAATCCTACAGACACTGGTGGTTGTGGTCAGGCCTGAAGGGGAAGCAGTGGTGGCTCTTTGAAGTCCCACATGTAGGAATGATATGGGCAGTATTTCAAAGAGGAGATTATCTCAGCCTCCTCAGCCCAACTGCAGCATCAGCAGTTTTACCGAGGAGCCTGAACTGGTTTGACTTGGGTTTAGACTGGCAGAGGATTGGTTTTCAAGTGAAAGGGAGACTTCAAGTGCCAGCATTTCCATGGGACAGGAAGACAATAAAAGCCAAAACTGAAACTGTGGCAGGGAAAGCAGCAGTTATTTATAAAAAAAGTCCAGAATCATTTTAGGCAACATATTCTGTGATATGCCTGATGAAAGAGCATTAGTTTTAGTTGGAGACAGTGCAAATTGCTGACACATCATAAAAGGGTTTGTTTTCTATTTAAAAAAATATTCTCTATAAAAAGAAAAAAGAGCACAAAGAATCTCTCTTTACTTTTTTGAAGAAAGGTACTGTTACTAGAGTTGAGATGGTTTTCTTGTGGCTCTGTAGAAAATAATAAGCTCTCTTAACACCTCATCCCTGCTCCCCTGCAACCTTTAATGGAGCTACATTTCAGAAATCGGTATGGTATGACCTCCCCTGCACTCAGTGAAAGTTAGTTTTCCATTGATTTTTCTTTTCTCAGTTGTTGCTTAGTGTGTGAATTACAGCTTTCCGGGGCTAGAAGGCACTTAAATCAATATGAAATGCACTCTTAAACATCTTGAATAATAACATTGACCAGAATTGGCATTTCAGTAAGCTAATGAGCACAGGTACCCTAGTTAAAACTTTGGAAAGCTCAGAAGTTTAGCATTTGGATTTTTAGAAGGCAGGCGTTTTCCTTAGTGATTTGAAGCACAAGATGAATGTAGTTTTCTATCACCGTTGCTTAGCTTTAGTCTTTATTTTAGCTTGAATTTAATGGCCAAGCTCCCTAATTGCAACAAGACTATGCCTAGAGAGCTCAAACTTGTTAGAAGGCTGAGGAAGGTCAATTTTGAGGCTTCACACCTTTCCAACACCCCCCCCGACTCTCTTCTTCATGGCAGCTTTTCTGTCCTCACACCATTTTCTCTCATGGCTGCCTGAATTTATTTGCCCCACACTAATGATGGTGACTGACAGCGTGTCTGAGGATCATCCAGTTCATTATCCCTTCAAACCAAAGATGAAAAGAGCAGCACAGATAAGATTTTGTTACTCCTGCACCTTCAGAGGAGTTTAAATGACCCCTTATACCACTGTGGAAGGAAAGGACTCCTCCCCGATTAGGAAGTGGTTTTTGTTCTGCTAAATTGGAGTCACCAAAAAGTAGATGTTTGATTTGGTAAAAATGAAAGCAGACTCCAAAAATTTTGTCCTGTGTTTTTTTATTGTGATTTTATACCATGTGGAAGCCAAGAAAGGGAATAATCTATTTATAGCTCTAGCTTCATCACAGTGGTTTTCCTCAGACAATGTATATACTACTTTTTTGCCTTACCTTTTTTCACTCTTGTGCTAGCAATAGGTAATGGCATGTACTATACTTAGTCAGAGGTCTGAGAAGAAAACAGAGCTGGGTGCAGTACCTTGACCCATCCCTAATGCAGAGGTACAGCCTGCAGCATGTGCAGGCACCTGCTCTTCATCTGACTCCTTGTTCTTGATGCTGAAACAGAGCAGCCTCTGAGCAGCCCCCTCTGACCATCCCCACCTTCCTCTGCTCAGAATCAAGAGGTTGGTTCTGCCCTTGGTTAGTTGGAAGTGCCCAGGCAGTAGGTGACAGGCTTTAACAAAAGTTCCTTACTTTGCAGGCTGCTGCTGAGGATCCCCCATTACAATTTCAACATCGTGGTGATGGACAAGCACGGAATGGACAAGGAACGTTATCCTTTCCCAGCAACACCAGCTGAGCTCTTTGCCCTTATTGACAAATTTCCCTTGAGAAAAGAGGAGATGAAACTGCAAGCAGAAATTGGTCAATCATGTCCCTAATTCAGGATTTCAGGGCTTGCAATTCTCAGTGAATTTTTTTTAATTCACATAATTCTTTCCTTGGTGCTACACAAAGCATGGCTTTTTTAATCACTGATGTGATTTTTTGTGTGTATCAGTAAGTCTGTCCAGCCGTGTAGCTGCTCTGCATAGAAGTATGCATGATGCTTTTTTATACTTTCAGTCATCTTTAAATCATAGAATCACAGAATGGCTTGGGTTGGAAGGGACCTTAAATATCATCTAGTTCCAACCCCCCTGCCATGGGCAGGGACACCTTCCACTAGACCAGGTTGCTCAGAACTCCATCCAACCCGGCTTTGAACACCTCCAGGGGTGGGGCATCCACAACTTCTCTGGGCAACGTGTTCCAGTACCTGACCACCCTCACAGCAAAGAATTTTCCCCTAATGTCTAATTTGAACCCATTCTCTTTCCGTCTGAAGCCATTCCCCCTTGTCCTGTCACTACATACTCTTGTAAAAAGTCCTTCCTTCAGGTACTGGAAGGCCACAATTAGGTCACCCTGAAGCCTTCTGTTTTCCAGGCTGAACAATCCTAATCCTCTCAGCCTTTCCTCATAGGAGAGCTGCTCCATCCCTCTAATCATCTTGGTGGCCCCCTCTGGATTTGCTCCAACAGGTTGATGTCCTTCTTGTGCTAGGGACCCCAGAGCTGGATGAATGTGTACGTAGGTTTGCTATCTAATGGAATTTCTTGTGCAGAGTGCAAAGAACTGAGGCACGTTCCTGGGAGTTTATTTTGGATTTTTCATTCAGTGTAAAATTGGGGTTTCTTTCTTACTGTTTATAATTCTTTTTATTAATAAAATATTGTTTTGCAAGGAGATAGTTGCCTAAAATTCCTCTTGGAGATTACAGTTGGTTGATTGATTCAGAAGTTGGATCAAAATACCTCTCTGCAGAGCATTAAAACAGACATTACCCTCACACTGAAAGTGTGCAAGCAACCCAGTGGTGTCCTTCAGCTCCACTAAAAACAGGGCCAATCGCAGACACAAAACATGAGCCAAAGGCAACACAAGCATCTGTTTTCAGCAGGAACAAGGAGAAAACAGATAATAGCAGCAATGTGGAAATCATTGCCACGGGGAATATGATAAAGGGACAACAAGCAGTGTAGAGGATGGGTATTAATTACTGAAGGCCACGTACTGCAATGCTTGATAGAAACATATGGTCTTACCTGGTATATTTCTGCTTCTGGCTTTTAATGTCCAACCGTCTTGGAGTAGCAGACTTCTTTCCTCTCTTCACCTTGGAGACAGACCAGACTGTTTATTTGATGGCAAAGAAACATTACCCCCAGGGAAACTTCATCAATGATTTGTCACTTCCAGAGCTGTGAAAATACTTGTTTGCAAATAGTCACTTATACAGTAACAAAAAATAGTTCCATGTTGAATAAGAAGTATTAGGAGGCAATCAAAAAAGGAAAAATTTTTCTGTGGTTTTATTATAGCCCACAGTCTCGCCAATCCACTGCAAAGAATATACATCATGCATGAAAATACAAACAAAGGAGTGAAGTTTGGGAATTACAGCTTTGGATGCCTGTTTACAGGATATGGTGTATAATTTGATATTTCTGAAAAACAACACTCCAGTGTCTGTGCTGTTCATTCTTGCCCATCAAGGGCACAGTCCTGTTTTTTTCAGCCAAATGCTTGTTTGACTTTGACCATAAGGTAGATTTTTAAATTTTACACTCTGGTGTCAGCAGAAGAACAGTTTTACCATCATCTTTAAAGCAATCCTTACCAGAATTCAGTCTCTCACACTCTCTGAAATTACAAAAAACCCCAAAAAGACAAACAAACATACAAAATACCCCAAAAAACCAAAAAACCCAAACAAACAAAAAAACCCCACAAAACAAAACCAAAACAAACCAACCAACCAAAAACAGAAAAAAAAACCCAAAAAAAACAAAAACAAACCACACAAACTTTTTTAAAGAGATAGTCCCTCATTAATTCACAATCAGGAGGAGACTGTGAAGAGAGGGAAGTCAACCACGGCGCTAGCTAGCAAAAGCTAACCTGTGGACTGAGGCATGACAGCACCAAGGAGAGTGGTGGCGAGCCATGTCTCCTGAACAGGATGGTCTGCTTCCCAGTGTTAGGAAATTGTTGTTAGACACTGAAGAGTATGACCTTGTGAGGGCTGTCAGTGATGCTGATGCCAAAGGCCAGGAAGATCAGGATATGCCCTGAACTTTGCAGGTGGTGGTGCCAGGTTTGCAAGGATGAGCAAGTGGGGGTCAAGGCAGCCCTGGCTGAGCTTTACAAGTGTTGCTGTTAGGAATAAACTGCAAGGACAGGAGGGGTGATGAAAAAAATCAGAGAAATAACATTTATCTTCCAGACCTGACCAAGCCAAAAATAAAAAGTCCTGAACCCACTATAAAGGAGCAAGGAGTATAAGAGCCAGCATGGTGGTGGACACAGCCATGCCCCAATTGCCTTTCCTCTGCTGTCTAACAGCAGTAGTTAAGAAAATTAGACAAGGCCAGTCACACCAAGGATATGGACCTATTGAAACAAGCCCAGAGAAGAGACGTTAAGTTGATCCAAGGGCTGGAACATCTCTCCAAGGAAGACAGGCTGAGCGATTTGCCGCTGTTCAGCCTGAAGAAGGCTCCAAGGACACCTCATTGCAGACTAAAGGGGGCTACAAGAGAGCTGGAGAGGGACATTTCACAAGAGCATGCAGTGATAGAACAAGGGGAAATAGTCTTAAGCTGATGGAGGGCAGGTTTAGACTAGATGTTGGGAAGAAATTCTTTACTGTGAGGGTGGTGAGGCACTGGAACCTGGAGGTGTTCAAGCCCAGGCTGAATGGGGCTCTGAGCAACCTGGTCTAGGGGAAGCTTCTCTGCCCACAGCAGGTAGGTTGGAACTAGATGATTTTTAAGATCCCTTGCAACCCAAACCATTCTGTAATTCTGTGATTCCAGGAATGTAGAACAGAGCCCAAGGACACATCCATATACAGACTGCTGTGGCCCCAGGTCTCTGGCTCAGGTTCTTCAGCCTGCCTGTAATTATAGCATGAATCACAGGTGGACAGGTTTGGAGGTTTTTTCCCCCTCATTTTTCTCATTGAAAAAGCAGAGCAAGTGATTTCCACTGATTTAAAATTTATTAAAAAAAAAATTCTCAGAAGGGTCTGTTTTTCTCCTGTATTGCTGCAATTCCAATCTGCTGCTGCTCCACTTTGATTTAGGTACAAAGTCAGTGCATTCAGTCATCTTTTACGACTGGGTGAACAGGAGCAGGGCTTTAAAATTGGTACAATCAGGAAAGCGATTGCAATCACTAGGTTGTTACGGGAAATGGAGTTAAGTGGAGGAGAGTGCATGAGTGATTGGATTACTGGTTATAGTTCTGCAGAGAACATCTATTAAAATCCTGTGATTAAGAAAAGCTGTTCTTGATTAGTAATACAGAGTTTCTGCCATTTTCTGTTGTACATTTTTATGGGGAACAATGAAAAACACCATTTGCCATCTCTGTTTTGGAGTCAAAAGCAGCCTGGATGCACTCATGGATGTAGTAGAAAGGCTTTTTCGGAAACTAGTGTTTGAAAAAGGGACTTAGTATTTCTGGCTTTAGCCCAGCAATTATATATTCAAATATATTCCAATAATTCATCCTGTAGCCTTTTGGTCCAAGAAAAGAAATACTGCATAAGGTTCAGTATTTACACCAGTACAATTTTTTAATTAAAGTTTAACAGAAAATTCTTCTCCCTCAAAGTTTTACTGTGTGGAGTCTCTCTTGTACTATGAACACGGCTCTCCTTCCATAGCTCTAATCCTACCATTGCTGTCAAAATGTAAATCTGGTTTAAAACATGAATATTAGACCTGGTATGTCTTGTCCTTTCTACTCCCACCTCCAGGCTGTTCATTGCAGGATATGTGACACATCACAGTGTGTGGATACAGTCACGGGCTGGAGGTTTCTACATCAATCTGGAGGTACTTTTCAGTTTTGAATATGAACAAAAAGACTTCAATTACTTTAGATCAGAAAAGAATTCCTTGTTTCTGACATGCAGCATCTTTAACAAACAAAACTACTGAGATAAATTGTGGGAGGCAGCAATTTCTCGACACAAAGCAGTCTTATAAATGGCCTGATTTTCCCCAGATTCTACCCAATAATCCACCTAATTAGATGAGAACAACCCCTGCTGTCACACATCTCCTATACAGCTGCAGAGGAGACACAAAATTTGGAGTTGCACATTCCTTTTCTTGAAGTTCAAACCCCTTCCCTCTGGGACAGAAAGTTCTGTGTTTTAATGAAAACACCAATGACCCTTAACAGCTCTGCACTAAATGACTATAACATGCAGCTTCATTACAGCTCAGTACTTACATAAGAGCGTGAGTCAGAGTGCATCACATAATTAATGAAAATGCAGAGGCTAAAAAGTAACCTGAAGTATATTCAAATACTCTTGCAATCACAACCCACTTTTTAAATTGAGGTGGTGAAATAATGGAGCTTTAGCTGTGCAATCTCAGCACTTGATCACTTCCAGGCACTCAGCACGGTCTCTGTTCCTGTTGTTCATCCACAGAAAGGGAAAAGGGAGCAAGTGCTTCACACCATCAGGAGGTGGAACAGCTCCTCTCGACTGTGTAGCTGCTGCCCATTTCTCTCTCCCCATTTGTGGCTGGAGGATATTTTTATGGCACCTTGGTGAAGGGAAGAGTAGGAAACCATTTGCAGATGCTGGAAGGCAGAGAGCAGCAGGGCTGCCTGGGCTAGAGGAGCCAGTGAGGACATGGGCAGCTGAGGAGAGCACATGCATTTCTCTGGTCCCTTTCAAGCAGTGATCCAGCTGCTGAATGCTCTGTGAAGCACAAGGGAAAACGGTTGGGAAAGCCAACATCCACACAGAATGTACTAGTGCCTACCTAGTTACCAGCATATCTCCTATTGCCACCCACACAGCCAGAAAGTAACCAAGACCTGCATTTCAGTAATTAGGATGGCCCATACTTCAAATTTACAAGGGGAATTTGGCATCTATCACCTCAAACAGAAGGGGAGGAGAGACTGCAGTTCAATTGTACCAAAGTTACAGAAGTGTCATCCAGATGTCCATGAAAATCCTTAAGGACAGTCCCAAGCAAAAGTACGAAGAGCAGAGAAATGGCAGGAGGGCTCTTCCCCACCTGCACCTGCTTTTCAGTTTACAGGTGTTCGACCCAAAAAGGCCAGAACCAGCATGGGGATGAGCTGAACAGGAGTGGTGTGAGGGCAAAAGTGTCATCTGCCTGTGCCCAAATCACACTGAGAGACCAGTGAGCCCCTCTGAGCTGGTCTCCTTTAACCTGGGCAAAGGAACCCAGGAGCTGAGCCAGACTTTTGGACTACTCCAAAGTGAACAGAGGCAGCACAAGCCCAGAGCCCAGGACCATTCTCAGACAGCAGGGAAGAAGACAAAAAATCCCAGGGAACTGGAGAACCAAGAGAAGATGCAAGAGAGCCCTCAGCTCTGAGGTAAGTTGACCTGAACATGATTCAGCTGTAAGTATAAATTGAGTGATAAAATACTTGTTTTTTCTTAATAATAATAATAAAGAAATCAGGACCAACAATTACAGAAAATATGCATTTTGAACATATGTGGATTTTGAGGTGGGCAGGACCTTGAACTAGGGCTGGAGTTTCAGAAATAGAGGGGAAGACCTGCTTATGAAATCAAAAATAGTTTAATTTCTACACTTTAGGAATTTTTAGGACAAACCAAAAAAAAGCAGAGACAGAGACATCATTGATGAAATCCCACCTCTGAAGACATGTCAGGTCTCTTGCAATAGTCATCACATGTAAGTGACGCCTTTACCTCAACGAGATAATATGGGATACTCCTGGAAGATATGCTCACAGTTCGCTGTAATGCATTTTAGGAGAGACAAAGACTCAGCAACATTTCAGTATTTTAATTTAAAAGACAGAACAGAAATCTTGACAACAGTTTCAAATGTATTACCATTCACCTTTGTCCACAAAACTGAATGTACAACTCACAGTACAAAAATGTTCTCAGCAGAAAACATTGCTTTGTCTAAATTTGGGCAGAACTTAACATACTGCAATGCCATTTAGTACTACTACTGTTCATGTCCAGCAGCATAATTAAACAAATTGCTAGCAACAGATTTTAAGCAGAACAAAGGCAGAACGAGGGATATGTGACATTTCATAAATGCTGCAACAAATGACTATGCTTGGCTTTAGGCAAACCTCAAGAATAGGACTATCCTCAAAAATATACACTGAGCAGTCAGGAGCAGTAGCACACAGCCATATATATGTTATTGCCACAAAGTGGAATTGTTGAAATAACTAACCTAAATAAAGGGCCAAGATGCAGCGAGGGTAAGGTTCAAAAGCAACACAAAAACACCTAAAAAGCAAGTTGAGATTCAGTTTCCAGTGTCAGTGTCAATATACACAGTATGATTAACACTGTATTATTACCACTTATTAAACAGCATTTGCAAGCATGAAATCACCAGGCAGGAAATTTATGGGACACAGTGGTAAGGTTCTGGTAGCATACTTCTCAGCACCTCCTGCTGAGCTGAGGTGAAGGGCATCACTGCAAATCAAAGTCTGCATCCTATTTTGGAATTTACCACATATTCTACCAAGAGTTCTCTAGGGTTCTCCAATGTTAACACCTCTATGTGTAAAAAATAAATAAATAAAAATACAATTTTTTTTTCTTACTTTAAAAAAATTATTTTATAAAGTGCATGGACAGTTTTCAGGAGATGCTTATTTCTGTCATTGTGGCAAAGTGCTGTAAATCAATACTGTGTTAAGGAAGTAAAATTTCAGTCTTAACCTTGTATGGATGACAGTAAGTGGGGCTGTCACTTCACTTCTGCATGGTGCCTCTTTCCAGAAACTGAAGATTAGTGTTTAGGTAGAACCTTCTGGTCAGGGCTACTGAACCAAATGAAGGGAGGAAGGGAAGAGAGACCCTTGCAAAGATTCAGATACAACCTTTACTGTCTTGTGTGAATCCACAAACTAGGCAGCTGTGGAAATAGGACTCTCACCTCTTTTCCGAAGGTGTAAGAGATCCAAGCAGCCTTTCTCTTCATTGACTCTGTAGAACAAAATGCAAACTTCACATGCCTGAAGCTGGGCACTGTACATACTCCTCAAGAAGCCAAAATTATGCCAAGATTAAGCTCAACCCCCCTGTTACCTGTTCTTAATGTTTCATACCAGTGAATGCTCAAAGGCTGCTCTGCTGTTACAATTGAGTTGATATTTTGCAGAATACAATTTAGAATAATTGCACTTAGCAGGGCCTAACCAGTAAGGATGAGAAAAATCAAAAATTAATATATAAAAATACTACCTTCATGCTACCTTAGCATAATCTGAATTAGAAGAGACACAGAAGAATAACTTTCCAATCTAATGCACCATGATCAAAACATGCTCACCATCCCAATGCCTTCTCTCTTAAGTCATCTGCCAAAGCATCCAGCTGGGACAGAAAGACGAAAAACTGGAATCTAAAAGGCATCCACAGAAGGCAATGGCACTTGGATTAGCAAAGGAAGATGGCAACAGTGTCTCTCAGAGTCTTTGCAACTTTCCTCCTACTGTCACTCAAACGTAACATGATGGAGGTGGAGGAGATGGGGAGGTCATTTCATACCTATTTTACCCTGCTTTTGGTATCTAAAAATGCAAGAGCACCAATATTTAGAAGCCCAAAGTTCCCAGATAGTTGACAAACTGAGTAGAGAAACCTCTAGAGAACTAGGCTGGATACCAAAGTCTGATGGCAGGGCTTGGAGAGCCCTTAGCATCAGCTTTTTTTGATAGATACTGGCCCAGTCTGTAGATGTATTTACTGGCCCCACTTGACCTTTTACAGGAAAAGTTGCACTTTTATTCTTCTTTAGTGGGTTGAACTCTCAAACTCTCATCACAAGGGGGAAAAGATAATGATGAACACCTTGTACTTACCTTGCTAAAAAATTACGTATCAGAGTAAAATGTGGTTTGTAATACATTTTCTAAAAGCACAGAGCTGATTTCTTCTCCACTGATGCAGCTTCAGTTATTCAGGTCTGTGTGGAAAAAGACTTCAGAAACATAAGCTCTGTTGTATCTTTTTACTCAGGGCAGGAGTTTATGAATCAATGGTAAAATTGTGGTTATTTCCTCCTAAGAATTATCCACGAATAAACCATTCATGAACCTTCAATACCATAAACACAGATAGATGGAAAAGGAAGGCTTTAGTGTAATTCCTGTCTTTCTGTCTTTTTGTTCAGCCTGGTAACACACAGAACATGATGACACACAATTATAGGCAATTAATTCAAATATCCGGGAAACAAGAAATCACATCTGCGGTTAATCATCTTGTGCTTTTTCCAAACCATAAACCATTTTTGTAGAAGGAGAGAACAAAGATATGAGAGATATAATTAAATGCGACATTTTCCGTAAATCAGACGCTTCCTACAAATGTGCCGATAACATCCCAGAGCAGCAAAACATTCCAAATTGCTCCAGTGTTTATTTGATGCTCATCATCTCTCCCAGGCTATGATGGGTGTGACGTCTATTATGTGCTATCATACTGCAGAACTGTCACTGCTAAACCAGGAGGTAATTTCACTGTGCTGCTCCAAATCTCATCAATGGCAAAAACCAGCGCCTTGACCAAAATTGCGTCCCAGGTGAAATCGTTCCTTTCATATGCTGAACTGCAGTTGATCCCTGCAGCCTATTCATAGCCCAGCCTGTAATATCAGGTGTGGGCTCAGGTGACATTTGGCCCTTTGGAAGGAAAAGGCAGAACTTGAAGTCCGTGTATGCACTGGGTGACACCTCCCAGAAGAGACCACTCATCACAAACTCTACCATAGCACCAAAATGGGCAGAAGTTGAAGCAGTAAACTTTTTTTCTTTCAGAGAAAGACCTGATTTAGCTAAGATGTTCATGCTTAGAAGGTTAGGAAGTACCATTCAAAAAAATTAGACAAACTCTTGTACTCCATGCAAGAGCAAATTCAGTTCAAAATTATTTTAAGGTTTTCAATTTGGCAAATGAAAAAGTGCCCAGTTTGAGGTCTGGCTTGGAAGAGTTTTGTGTTCTTACTATTTTTCTCATTTTCACCATCAAAATGAAACAAAAGCAAACCATCCAAGCCCAGTGTTCCTCTACAACTCTGGCTGGAATTTTATCTCAAATGATAATTTTCTTTAGATTCAGCAAGCTTTATCTGTTTGAATCAACAATCTAGCAAGAAAAAAAAATCAAGTTTGTGCCTACATGTCCATGTGATATCATTATTCCCAAAATAAATTCAGTTTTAGTACAAACAACCAAGACAACTTATAACAATTGTGTTAAAGCCAGAGGTAGCTTAGGTGCCAAAAGTTAGGTTTGGTTTCACTTTCAAAAATACTGATTAAAAAAAATTATCTAATACTTAAAGACAGACTATTATGATCAGAAAAAGGTCATAAAATGTTATGTGCTTCATATTTGTGCTCTAATTTATCAGCTCACAGCATCTGTGGCACAGAATTGTAGAATCATAGAATTGTTTAGGTTAGAAAAAGGAAAAGCCAGGTAAATTACACTAGACTTGTTTCACTGCCCTTTTGGAGCCAAACTTCTGAAGAAAACGAAGAATAAAGAAGGAGAATGAAGTCACTTTTCTTGAGTAGCTTCTGAATTTTGGCTATCAATCTGAGCTTCTCTAAGAGAATTTTATTTTGAAAGATTACTCAATAGTTTCTGAAAACTGTGAGTCTCCAACTGGACAAGCAATACCTCCAATGACTTCTAAAAGTCATATCATAATTTTGATAGAAAATATTCATAGTGAAATAAATAATTTTATTAAAACTGCTATTTTTAACATAAATAAATATTTTTTGTCCAATAATATTAGAATTTTAAAAGACTGGTTGTGAACTTCCTTGTAGTTTCCAGCCAGTCAAACAAAAAACAGTATAAAATATCTTAAAAAAAAAGGACATTAAATTTTAAGGTTTTGAATTCAGCTCTAAATACTTGTATGCAATTGTACAATTACAGATGTCAAAATTTCCTGCTGTAGTTACTTAGCTATCAGTTCATATTCTGTTGTTCAATCTAGATTTCTTGCAATTTCTGGATTGTGCAGAACATTTAGATCTCTCAAGTTAGATTTTATGGTCTTTTTCTTCACAGAAATATTTGAATACTGGTGTTTTGATCTACAGGCAATGACACATTCTTTGATAGTTTGTGGTTTTTTCCAGTAATCTACATAAATTTCCATGTATTTCAAACTGTTTCCTTAGTACTAATACTATATTTCCAAAATAAAAAAGAGAAGAAAAGTTATAGATTAATTTACCAGTACAAATAGAAAGCTGTGTTCTAACTCTGGAAAATCCAGAAGAAATGTTTTTCTTTCAGTTTCCTGATCTTCCTTTGTCTTATACCCTGAGAAATCACATGCCATACAACTATGTCATTATCCAATAGGATAATATCTCAAGGACATATGCTGTCCTTGAGAAAACATTATAATCCTATTTCATTATGGTAGAATTAGCCCACAACAGCTATTCAAAGCAGCATGCTCTTCACAAATGACCTGTGTAGGTCCCTAAAGGATGAGGGATCCGAATAGGTGGAAAAATCACTTTCGGAATCCAAATGGCAAAATTACTGTTGAACAATTGTCACGGTCAATCAGATTAATGATTGAACTGGCCAAGACCCACATATAATCAAATCCACTGTTAACTCACAGAGGGATGTTCAGGAGAAAAAATTCCTACTCTGGTTAATAATTATTATGCATGGGCACATCTGAGTGGGATCCCAGACCTTCCAGGGAAAATTCCACAGTTTTGCAAATCATTTTGGCATGTGCTTCAATCTCGTTATTTTACTACATGATCTCTTGAATAAAGTTCTTATCTAATTACGTCCAAACCTGGTATATGTCTTATCTCAGCAACATAGATGGGGACAGGCATGTGGAGCAGACATACTCCATCTGTTCAGTGACATCAGAAGATCCTGTTAGAGCTGTCAACTGAATGGAAACACAATAATATCATATAGTTCTGAAAACTGTTTGAGGATTTGTTACATTTTGTTTTCATTAGAGCTTCTTTGCTTACATTGAACGAAGTCTACCTTTTATACGGTGCATTAAAACACCCCCGAGAATGCCTGTTCACCAGCACTGCTCACCTGCTGCCCATTTCTAGTGTGCCAAACACTCCACTGTCCTTCCTTGATTGGCTGCTTGGACCCAAGTGCACCTCTGCACAGCCCAGCAAGTAAACATGACAAAGAAGTGCTGTTTGTTACCCTTCATACCATTATGGCTCTTTAACTTTCAAATACCACAGCACAGACTCACTCCGAATCTGCTTGCACTGTACCAGTGCTGCCTTCTAGGCCATCTTTGACCCAGAAGGAGATGTGTAAACCTGGTGTTACTTTTTAAATTACCAGCTAGAGAATTTGCTCACTCTGAGCATCCCCCAAGCAGAAGTGCTCATCATCTGCACACCAGTCACCAGAAGGGACAGAAAAAGCCAGTCCCATCTCTGTACAAGGTCCAATTCTCACTGGCTTCAGGGGAAATATAATTCACACAGGAAACCTGGGTAAAAAATGTATGCATGAAAGTGCAGAATGCATTGGAATCTCACTTGGAGCCTTAACATCCAAGAGTACGACCCTTCCCCTTGTTCAAATGGGCAAAGTGGCAACAGCCTGAACACCACTGAAGTCAGGAGCATATGTTGTACCCCTCAGCAGTTAAAGTCTTTCAGAGTCTGCGTTTTCCCATGCTGGATCTCAGCATTAATATCCCCTCCACTGGAACTCCCGGACTGTCAATCATCCTCTGCCAGAGGTGCTGCTCTTCCCCCTGAGAGTCCATCCAGTCAACCTCTTTGCCGTTACTTACACCTGACAATTATAAAAGCACATGGCATTATGTCATATTAGGAATCAGTTACTTAATATCACTGCTCATTTGCTACAACAGTGTACAAAAAAATGCTGAGCACTTTACAATACCATCTGTACAGCAGCTATAGTGAAAACAGGTAGCTCCTGGAAAGAACCAGTTTGTCGTAAAATTCCTTTGTGGCACATGGCCAGAGGCATATAAACCTTCCCACTCTGCACCACAAGCAACTTCTTCCTAACTAAGGAGGGATGGATTCACACCTCTTCCAGGTCATCATCAGCAGAAAGACTGCTGCTGGACAAAAGTAGTCTCCTCCTTCTCACTGGGATGCTAAGGAACACTTCAAGGTATTCACAGTTCTTCTAGACTGTGCAGAAACACAACTGGGCACACAATTTTTGTGTCTCACTCAATGAAGGAAAGAACTAAATTATCTATGTTCATCTAAATTATCTATCTATTACATGTTGCCTCCTCTCCCTTTTCAATATCCCCAAGTTCCCATATACTTTCCAAACACTCTGTAATATTTCTGTCCTTCCCACACAGGAATCACATGGGGTGAGGAAGAAGGAGAGCAAAATAAGAAGAGCAATCATGAGTCAGATGGGACCTTACCATTTCCAGTGCTCAAACGGACACCTCCCAAAAAAATATTGCTGGAAAGTGACTCCTTGTCCCACACAGTCAGTTCTAGGCAGACATTCCGTATATCCCTTGAATTCAAGCCACTGAAGGCAAAGGTATGATTCCACTGGGGGTTCACGCTCTTTTTTACTATGGGAGTTTTGTGTTTTGTAGCTTTGCTGTCATCTGGGAGCAGGTATCTGTGAGATACAGAAAAGGAAAATTAAATATGTAAATGGGTTGTCACATAATATTCGCAAAGAGTTACAATGACGTAAAGGCTCAAATGGGATCAGAACCCCATCTCTCCACTAGTATTAAGTTAAGTATATACCTGAAGTGCATATTTTGCATTTGTGCTTAATTTGTTCCTATAGTTACAGTGTCAGTTATCACCAGCAGAAATTGGAATTAGGTCTCTTTGCCCCAAGACTTGGGTCACAACCACAGATTTTTTAATTCGGTGAGGCTAAATATAGACAGAATCATAAATCATTGGCTAGAAGGGGCCTTTGGAGTCACCTTGTCCAATGTCCCTCTCAAAGCAGGACAAGAGGCCCTCTAGAAGGAAATGGAAATGACTGATAAAGAACTTGAGCAAGTTAGCATCATAAATTTGAGTTGCCTAAAGCCCCACTGAGTGCAGAAACACAAATGCTGACAACTTCTTCACATTTGACTTGGAGTGGAGAATTCCTTTAGTGAAACTGAAAGAATTTAAAATTCTAGTTGAAAAATCAGAGGTCTTTACAAGTTTTCATAGTCTTCACCTTCTTCAGCAAAGCTGATGGAGTATCACTTATGTGATTGCACATAAGTACTAAAGGGTCAAACACACAAACAAATTATATCACTAGACCTCGATCAGGATTTCTGTGTGGGCTTGTACTTGACAATAAACATGAGCTAATTTACTAAAGTGGGTTAACTGTGGGCTCCTTTATGTCAAATTACCTCAAGCTGTAATTAGAACACTGCAGAACCTCAAATGGTTTATGGCAATTCCATTATGCTTTTGGCCATGACACATGACAGACCAATAGTCCAAGGAAAACAGAGCCCTGTTCCATGCTACTGAGTAATCCATGTCAACGTGTCAGTGGAAGTGTTTTCTTTTACCAAACACTGTGTTTTATAACATCAGGTACATCAGCAACTGGATGTTTATGTTTGAATGGTTCTGTTTCTTGACTCAGATGTATACAAATATGTTTGTATTTAACCCCTGGGGCAACTCATACCTCTCTGCCCCTGTTCCACAGCATCCTTCTCTTCAGCACACAATTTCAAGGTGCCAGTTGCTTTTCAGGACTGACACTCCACACACACATACACAGATACATTGAAAAAAAATGGGTCAGCCAAAGTATGATTCAGTGCAGCCATTAAAAAAAGGTGGAGGAAAAAAAAGCCACAAACCCTTTCACAAAAGTGTCAGATGTGCCTCCTGATTTCACTGCTGTTAAATTCTTTGCTTCTTTGATGAGGACTTCTAATATACCTCCAGATGGCAGGTGAGGATCTCCTTTTTTTCCTTTTTTAAAGCTCTTCTTTCCTATACGTGGAACAAAGTTGCAACATCACCATCATCATCAGAAATTATATATATATACTGCAAGACTGATTTGGAAACATAAATTGTCTTGGCTAGATTTTTTAAAATAATTTACTGCAATGGGATTAAAGCATTCCTTATGAGGATATTCTGATTCTCTACGGGTAGAGAAAATAGTAAGGCAGGGGCAGAAAAGTCACTCCATATTTGATAAAGAACTTAGCCATGTAACTAACTAGTCCTTGCAGGACACAACAGCGTGTCCTTTCTGAAGTCCTGTGAGAACATAGGTATTTGTGGATTACTCTGCTGAACACAAAGGACTCATGCGCTGTAAATCCTACCCGCTTTTCAGAATCCACTTCCACTGCTGATGTTAAGGCAGCCCTGGACTATAAAGCAAGCTATAAAACCTTTGTCCCAAAGCTTAAATCCAGAAAGAAACCAAATGTATCCTATGTGTAAGGATGCGCAGCTCCTCAGGGACCATATGAAGGACACAGTGCTCACTGACACACTACTGCTTTCAAACAGCAGCACAAGGACATGTGTCCTTGCTGCTGCTGCAGATTCTAAGAAGCTTATCAGCAGGGATCATACACCCTGATTCAGTATGAAAACATCAGAAATACAGATCAGGAGTGATGCTAAAAGATATTAATTTAAAAAAATGCAGACGGCATATCTGGACTCAGCAGACATTCTAGCTTTTAAGAGAGAAAACCTTGAGAAAACCTTGCTGTTAGCAGAGGGAATGTCATCTGTCCAAAAAAAAAAAAAGGCAAAGAAAGATATCTGATGTATCTATCAAATCCAAATGCTAACAAGCAATACTGTTGCTAAGACAGTGATATACCTGTGTCTGGTATATCCATATACACTCAGGTACTACCCAGTGATTGCTTTCACTTCAAAGGATCACGGTTCCTCATGCTACTACAAGGCAAAGAGTTACTAGCTATTTTCCCCTGTTCATTGCTGACAAAAATAATGATTCACCCTAAAGAACTTAAATAATATTTTGCAGGACTAAATTACAGCAGTAATGCAGTAAGACTGAGCAGAGGAAAAATGGTGTGAAAAAAGGAGTGAAATTGAGGAGGTAGCTTAAGGAGAACTAAGCATCAAGTACTAAGTGAAGTCTATTACTCTGATCAGCTAAACACTGTATATAACTAGCTGAACAAAGTACTCACAGACTATGATGCAGACAATTTATTTCTCTGTGGTTGCCCTTGACCATGTTATCTAATGTCTGGATTTTTTTTTTAGTTAGGTCACAGACACACATCAACCCTTGACTGCACACTCCCATTCTCTCCCCTAAAGTTCAGTGCAAGTGAAGAGAATGGAGCAGGAGAAACATACTCGTGGTTCAAAATTTCCACAAATGAACACAATTAACATATTTAAGTATGATTTCAATCTTCACTAGTACCATTACTTCGCCCCAGGTGAGGATTTTTAATACTCAGAGGGATGTTATATTATAATGCTACCATTAATGTTTGTTTTACCTTGAAACTGCCCTAGAGGAAGCATTAGGTTTCTGTCTGGGGGAATGTAACGTAAAACAACTGTCAGCTCTCCTTTATATTGAAGTCCAAAATCGGTTGCAACCTCCACCTGAAGAGAAAACAAACAAACCAGCCAAGGTTAATCATTCATATCTCTCCTTTTGATTTCAATTTTGTTGTACTAACATAGTGTTTGAAACAGTTCTTAAACATAACAAGACACACCAGGCCACTTTCAGGTAATTAGACATTCCAGGTTGAAAGCACTCATGCTTTGGAAAACTTTCTGAGCCAGGGAATGCAAGCTCTCAGAAAAATAAACCCATGTGGCATTAGACACTGCTCAGTGAACATACAGAGGAGAGAGTTATCTAGCATGAATAAGTGAGGCAAACCAACAGCAAAAAAACCCCTAAAACTTATTTCTGGGTATATAAGCTGTAGCTGATTTAAGCTGACAATCATCCCTTATTTCCTCCAGTCGAGATTTTAAACTGCATTTAGTTTCATGTATTTTAGAGGAGTCGCTCCTGAGTTACTCTTGGAACAGATATGGGGGTAAAAAAGGTGAGGGGGAGCAGACTACAGCTCTGAAACAGAAAAACTTCTTGAAAACTGTTGTTCTCAATGTCTTTTTCCTTTTCTACACAACTACAATTTCTGGGTTTCTGCATCTTTTTGCTTTATAAACATCTGAATCTTGCCCAGGAAGAATGCATTCAGTGCTCCTCAGACCATCCTTGTTAAAATAACTTTAGGCCTTCACTGGCAACATGCTGAACTTCCATTCACACTGTAAGAAATTAGAAACTTCATTTTAGAACAACAGGTGTAACACAGAGGGAGCTGCCCGTGCCAGGGTGTTTGGAACTAGATGACTTGGTCCCTTCCAACCCAAGTCATTCTACAATTTGATTTCTGTCCATGCTTCAGTGCTTAGGTTTGGGTACCAGTAAATCTTCCTGATCTCCTCACAGGGACAAAGCACATGTGTAAAGGGAGAGGATCCTCCAGAACTGCAAGACACACGCCAAGGCACCACCTAAGCCTTTAAAGTACTGTTTGTAGATGAATGCCTGATCCGTGACTGTATTTCTCTGAGTTGCATTCAGCTTATTTGCTGACTCCCTGGGAAGGTCAAAATTCCATTAGCAAAAGAAACAACCAAAAAAATCCCACCAGAAATACATACAGTGATATGCACAGAGTCAGCATTGCCTTTATATCATAGGTTCCAGGCTGAGGCACTAACTATGTTCAGTGGGGCTAAGTCTGCACCCAGGGATGGGACAGAGAACAAAGCAGTTTTAGTGATAACAACATGGCCCTTTTGTGACTTTGAAGCAGTTTTACAGCAACACAGACATTGCTACTTTGACTAAGAAACACAGTCCTCTCATACCAGTGTCCATTGTCAGCTGTTACTACAAAGGACAAAAGAAAATCTGTAGTAAACGGTTGTGGAATAATTTGCACAACATCTACATTTTGCCAGTCATGCAGCTCTCTTATGGTCTAAATTAAGCAAGTTTGGGATCGACTTTCCCACAAAGGCAGCAAGGATTAATTTGTTTTCTGTTCTGCCAGTGGACAAGAAATCATGTAAGTTCTAATATCAGAAAAAATTTATCAACCTCTCCCCCAAACCCACATACAACATGACTCTAGACTCTGTCCCCTCTTTTACCACAGAATTATTTTCTCTCCTTTTTCTGATTTAATCACATTCCTCTTGAAAACAAACCTTTCAATGCTCATAGAAGAAACATGTCTTAAAGTCTCCAACCTTTCCACTAAAGGAACTAAATGATTCATGATGGAACAAATAAAGCACTGTAATAAAACCCAGGAAATGTTTCACTGGCATTACTCCATTGCTGTCTCTATCAGGCAGTTCATACAGGAGAACAGTATGTCATTTGCATGTATTTTAACCAGTACTTTTTAAAGAAGTATTATACTCGCTAATCAAAGACCCTAGCAGCATTTTAAGTTTAGAAACATTATTTATAGCAACTTAGGAGGCAGATAAGACCGATTCTGTGTTTGCTTTCTTTGGTAAAAACGAAGTAATTTAAAAATCCTTTTAATGAGTTTGAAAATAATAAGACAGCACCTTCCAGCTGAAATGCTTAGCACTTCACTACGTTTTTTTCCTGAGCAGGAGAACTTCATGACTGTCTTTTTTAGTTTGGGGATTTTTTTCCCCTGTAAGGATTAAAAGAAACCACCCATACCCACACAAATCCCCAAAGACTGAAATGAGGTGACAAAGAGACTACTGCATGATAAGCTCAATTTCAGACCGTAAAAACTGCAAGCAAAACAACTACTAGATGTGTGTTACTGTTGTAGACAGGTGGGTACTAAATAAGAACAACACCTGACATCAGTCAGAGCTGTGACAGAGATGGAATAGACATTTCTTCTACTTCAAGAGCAGATCCAAGAAAAGTGATATACATGAAGCAAGCTTGTAAGAAGTGGATGGTATAATCATGGCCTGAACACAGTGCTGGCTGAAACACATTTGCCATCACTAACCAATTCCTGTTCCTGGTCTTGTCCATGAAGGAAGAGCTGGTGGTCACCCCCATAAAGTAAACTGAACTAGAACCTTGACTCTTATAAAGCATGAGGTGTGTAAGTGTTCAAAGATCAATTCCCATATGTATCTTCTGGCAAATTATTTACCAAAAATATAAATTTGTGACAATTTAAGTGTAAGCCTTGCAAAGGGCTACACCTGGAAATAAATTATACAACAATTGGATCCATCTCCCACCTGAGAGAAAGGCACAAACCAAACACATTCTCCTGAAACCCCAAATTTAATACTACTTCTGTAAATGTAACAAACACAGAACAAACAAGTCATCGAGTCAATTTAACAACGTTTGTTGTATGCCTCATATTTTTCCACAACAAGAAAGATACATTTTCTGAAATGGTAGAATTCCTGGGGATTAAGGCTGCTGCAGGAGCAAGCAAGGCAAAAGCCTTTAATCCTCTAGTTTACAGTAGGTCTTCAAATCTTTTCCAAGAATAAATACCTTTCCCAAAGTGGGTGGTGCACTAGAAACAGGAGTCATCCTGTCCTTCATTAAGTACAATGTTTCATAGACCAGTTGATTTGCTGGCTGAGAAGGCTTATCATGTACCTTTCTAGTTAAGGTGAATGAGAGACTGAGAAGTCATTTTGTCACAGCTGAAAGGTGTAAAGCACTTCAAATTGGAAAAAAAAAAAAGTCTGTTTCTTCAATAAACTCTTAGGGGTTGGGTAGGGAGAGTGGTAAGAAAGCCTTTTGTTTTATGTGTTATTTAAAAAAAATAATCTATTTACTAGGTCATTTTTCTATTGCAGTTTATTACAAGATGAACTTATGGTTTATTTATTTTTTTGTTATTGTTTTTAAGTAGCCAATCACATGTGAAGTTTTCATGAAGACTTTAAAACCAGTAATCCTTCACCAAATTAAGAACAAAGACTGTTTTTTTTTAATTGTCATATTAGACACTTATAAAGTCCTGATTTATAAACAAGTTCCAAAGGAAAAAATAACTAAATGTTGCTAAATTTGCTTCATAGCACTTTCACCAGCCCTGGAAAGCCTTACCTTGGGCTGAAGCACAAACCACTCATCGCCCTGATTTTCAAAGTTCCAGGAATCGAATGGAATTTCCACTTCCCCAAGGAAGCTGTTGCGTCCAAATCTGTCATAATGCCAGACAGAAAGCTGTAGGGTCCTGGTTTCCAGCTGTGTGTGACTGATGACATACTACCAACAGAAAAAGAGAAAAAAACCCTTTCAGAATAAGCAGAAATAATAGTTTCCACTGAGCCTTTTACAGCTCTAGCTCAATTTCACAGAGCCCACATCAGCTAACAAATGGAGCATGAAAGAAAGATTTGTTTCCCATGCAAACAAGATTGATTTAGCCAGAAAGCTCATAATGTTAATGTGAAATCTCTTTTCTTTGCTGTATGCATCCTGTGGTAATTTATGTTACTATCACAATCGTGGCTTTTTTTCCCCTATTATTTACTGGGTATTTATGACTATAAAGTAAATTATGATGCTTAAAACTATGATCCTGTTAATTCCTTAAAAGTTTATGCAAAAGAAGCAGATCAACATCGAAGTTTGATTCGTAAGAAGAAAGCCTATTGGTTCTTTAATCACTAAACAGTGTCTGCTGAACACTACTTTATAGAAGGCATCCTCTCCTTGCCAGTTTTATCTCTGTAACTTAAAAAAAATTGTTCTGAAAACACATACAACTGCATCTGCAAGGCATGCACTGAGCGTATCAGTCTTAGTAATCATTGTTGGTTTTGAATGCTACTAAAAAACTCATCTGAAAAAACATTATAGTCTAGCAAATGCACAGAAGACTATAAACATCTGGAATCTAACTCTGCACACTCTGCTTTTAGCAAAAAGTTCATTAACTCCCTGAAATTCACTCTTCTCGTAGTGTTGGCTGAAGAGACCCAGATGCCTTATTTTTGCATCAAGAAGAGTGTCTGAACAGAGACACATACTCTCCAAAAGCTGAAACAGTCAAGTCAGTTGGCTATTAATGTATAGATGTGTCTACAAAGCTTAATCCCAGATGCCAACACAGTTCCACTGTGAGAAATGTCATATTCTACAACAATGGAGTAAAAGTCAAAGAGGGAATATACAGACAGATTGAGTTACTTTCTTTTTTTTAACAGGACTTTCAGTTGGGATGAAGAGATGTAGCTCTTGCTTACCTACCCACAATTCAAGCAAGCCCTTTTTGTTACAATTTGTATTTTTCAGGAGTTTCTAGGTCGTATCCTCACCCGGTTCACTACCAGCAAACATATTTAGTACTACGTTACTTGCTAAATTAAGTCTAACACCTTCTTTTTTCAGTTCAGGCAAGTCTTGACTTTTATATACTATATACCATTTAAAACCAACACTATAAAAGAGACTCTCCCTTGGCAAGCAGTCCTGCCAGACCAAGCGTGTGTGCCTGCAAAATGGTTTTGTATCCAGGTTAAGCCAAGTATACTGGCCAGGGAACATTTATTTGTGTCTATTATGAGAAACTTATTTAAAACATAACTGAAATTACAAAAGAAATATTTCAGGAGAAACTAAAAGTGGTTTCTGGCCTCATGACAGCCAGCTGGATAACTCTCTTCAGTTGACAGCAAAGGGAATAATCAGGAGCCTTGAGTTCCAGGTCCCAGACAGGCAGTGAACTCTGCCATTCCCACTGCACCACAGAGTCAGAGAGGTGAATAAGAGGCTTGTGAGGAGCTCAGAATAGTTCACCCTGTGTAGTGGACATGGGTCAAAGGCAAGGAAAGAGAGGACATTGTGCTCCACCAGTCCTCAAGGAAATAATTAATCTTTATCTTTTGCAACAGAGGATGAACTTTGCCACAGTTTTTTAGGGAGGCAAGTAGAGAAACAGTTGTTGACCTTTTCTTATCAGAGTCAGTTCTGCTTTAATAATAAATTAAGGCCTCCAGAAGATTTCAGATCTTACTGCAGAATGTTATTTTCCTCTTCAAAATCAGTTAGATGGGAAGTTCGAAGCTAGCTTTACTTCAGCATCAGGCACACAAAATCTTTGAGGTGCTTTTAACAACTCTAAGCTCAGGTTAAATGGGAACATCAACAGTTTTGAAAGAGATCTATAGAAACTAATAGCTGTTTTACCTGTAAAGGGGAGAACCAAACAAAAACAGCTCTTTAATGCTAGAAGCCAGAAATTGCAGCTTATATGTTTACTAAATGCTTTTGCTTAAACACCTTCCTTTTTGAGGCATCTCTTCCAGATTCTGATCCCAATACTGGAACACATATAGAAAATACCTTTGAGAACAAGTGAAACATTCATCATAGCCTGAGAGAGAGACTGTTCTCACCTTCAGCATCTCATTAAATTCTGGATTGGTGCTGTTGCTTTTAATTTTGGTCTTGCGCTTACTTTGGCGGGACTTATCAGGCAGAAGGTACGCCTTGACATATCTGCAGATCAAGTAGTAAATTATTAGCAAGGAATAAAAAATGGCCAATTTAAGAAGGACCTGACATTCCTGCATCAGGAACACACATGAGGAAATTAATTTTTGCAGTATAAACAGTGTAAATGTGCAACAGAGAACATGAGAAACGTGGAAAGATATGGTCTTTACCTACAAACATAGAAATGTTAGTCAGACAGGATCAGAATAACAAGAGGCAGAGCTAAATTAATTTACTTATCCTCAGAAATGCAGTAAGCTCTCCTAACACTATCCCTTTCGCAGTATATAATTACTGGCTGGTTACAAAGGACAAAGCACACACTAAAATTACAAGATAATTAAAAACTTCATAATTTAAATACAACAGAATTACTTATGATTAGAGGCACTAATTATTACTGTCTGATGAGAGAATTTACATTATACTGAAAACTATAATGAGAAACTCAGAAAACATGGTACTAGCAAAGCGAGTCTATGGATGCATGAAAACAAAGTTATCTCTATCCCTCCCTCTCATGGCTCCTCTCATGTATGTTAGTTTTGATTCTAGAAGTAAAAAAATTGGTGTTACCTCCCTATCACTTCATATTTTTGTCCTGTTACTATTAAACAGGTTTATAATTTAAGTAATCTTATTTTTTCCCCAGAGCAGACACATGTTGCCCTAAGAAGCACATGGAAAATGCACTTCCCATGGGGAACCCAAACCCAGCCATCACTGAAATGCAGGCTGGTAATTCACAGGCTCATATCACAGCCCCAGATTACAGTGTGTGATGTGGAGGAGGACACCCCCAGCAGAGTTTAAGGAAATTCTTCTCTGTGCTTACGGATCTGTCCTTTGCTTCTTCTCATCTCCAATGGCCAGGTTTCTGCAGCTCTTCACCAGGATGTTGAGGGCACCTGTTCTGTAGATATAGTTGATACTGAGAAGGATTTCACCGCTGACCTTCACGTTGCCATAGTCACCAGTTTCACTATACACACTGAGCATGCTGTTAATGCTTGTCTGGAGGGGGAGAGAAAAAGGTCTTGGAGGCTGAAACACATTATTCTTTTCCGGAATCTGCTTTCTTCATACAGCTACAGCCATGCAATATTATCACACTTGTTAGGACTTGCTATGAAAACACGTATATCATAGAATAGAAATACCACAATTTGGTGTAAAAAGGAATGAGAATTACAGTTAATAATAGTTTAAATGTCTAGACAGTTTATGTTTTTACGTGCAGGACTCAAATCTATTTATAAACATGACTAAATCTTAGTTACCACCTTTTAATTAATGGATGAACTGAAGTGCAGACAGGCTACATAAATTGCAAGCTCACATAGGTTCCAAGTAGAAAAAAAAATAAAAAATCACCTCCTGGCCCAGCTGGTCACCTAATTTTTACTGATTGCCATAAGACAACTACTGACAGAACCCTTAGAAAAATGTATGAGGATGCTTCCCATATTGGAGATGGTATAAAACCATATTTGTTTAAAGTGCAACCCACGTCTCATTAGCAATTTTGTAACGATGAGTAAAATTCAAAACTCACCATTTCTACAATTTTCATAAAGACAAAAATTTGGCAATAATCTCACAAATTTTCCACTACAGCATAATATATAACCCCCAATCCCTTTTTCTTCACAGTAATAAGATGCAGAGTATTGCCATGAGGATTTCCTCTTCCAAAAGTTTGCAGTTAGGAAAGAACTGAATATTTCTTAAAGAAAATCAGAGCAATATGCACACTGCCAGAACATTCAAGAAACCTGGTGCACATTTTCTTTTGGGTCATTGAGCAAGACTTCTCAAAAACATATATAACCATCTAAATTCTGACACATAGGAACCTTGAAAGACACACAGGTAACAGTCTTCAACAAAAAGGGAGAAAAGAGAGAGAAACCTTTAAAGTAAGCTAAGCAGAGGATTCAGGAGAACTCACAGTATCGCCGTCTTTTTCAGGCACATTTAAATATGTCCATTTTCTGTCAGAGCCTTCTGGGGAGTTCTTTAAAGAAGGCAGTGCAAGAAGATCAAGAGAAAAGAGCATTAGAGAATAAGTGCAGTGAGAAATCTTAAACCTATACAGACAGGTAAAGGAAGTTTGTATTGCAAAGCCATAGTAAGAAAGGAAGAAAAAGGGTATCACCAAATCAGAGAAATGTTGTGTTTTCCATATATTTCAAGTATTGAAGGATGTGTTGTTCAAGGTAATTAAATAGAAATGAGGTGTAATCTCTGTATCAAACTACATAAGTTCTATTTTAGACCACCAGTTCAGCAGATTTGGATTCATATTAGATTATATTTGGATTTGTTCTCATTTACATGTGCATGAAGTCAATCCTCCCTGGAGCTACTCAAAAGCTAAGCATTCCTGTATTTGCAGCATCAGTGCCTTTGTAAGAAATTACGGTTTCTCTGTGGAGTTCATAAGAATAAAAGACAAATGCACAAAAATGTTGAAACACGTCACTCTCTGGGAAAAAAATACACTATTTAGTTATTGGGGGAAATATTTTCCCTCCTCTACTTGCTAGATCAGGATCTGGAAATCTCACCAAGGACCTCAAGGGAAACTGTATCCTGATCTACCTCCTTCCTTACCAGCTGCAGGGAAGTCAAGGGAAGGAGCCACACAGAAAGAATTTGTCTGTGGCAAAACTCAAATCTCCAAGCAATTTGCCAAAGGGCCCTGCAGCACAGAAGGCTGGAGGGATAAGCAGTTCTATGTCAATGTGGTAAACAACAACAGACATGAAAAAAATTATTTATATAAGCAATAATTACCCATGAAGTTAATTTTATATACCACGAAGGAATAATAAACAGCAAAAAATGTGCTTTTACTGTATTTCTGCTGGCCTTCTTTATCCTCAATTAAAAAAAAAAGAAAAAAGTAAAAGGCTTGTCCTTTTAATCCTTTCTATAATTGGCTGAAATTCCACAAACAGAATTGCATAAAATTACTGGAAAATTATCAACACACACCAAAAAATGTGTCATATTTCCTTCTATTCCTAACATGCCTTGAGATAAATTCTAGCCTTTACCATTTATGCATTTCCACCTCTGGTATACATGAAAATGAGTATCTTGGACACTGCTGCCTTTGAAACTGTCAGTGAACTTAACCGTTCCAGTACATGCTACAAAATGCCTAAATTATCCCTGTAACAACTTGTATGCCCATTTCAGAAAATAACAGGGTTATACGAACACAAGGAGGTGGATGAGTTGTTCTTTACTGAATCCAAATACATTTTTCCTCAATCCTTAGGCAAGCAGGCAGCAAGGGATAAATAATTGAGAAAAAAACCACAGCACAAAGTCCTAAAAAAGTAGTTGACCTCTGACTCTAGAATTTGTGCATACACATTTTTGAGCTGTTTACAAACCACAAAGAAAACTACAGAAATTTAGTAGAACTTTATATACTTTACTTTCTGCCCCTATCCCCCCACAAGACTGTTCTGTAGCATTTACACTGGCCATTACAATGTAAAATCCTTAAGAAATATACTCATATTCCAGTTCCATAAGTAGTAAACAACAATCACACACAAGGATGCAGAGCCTCATTTTAGTACCTCACTAAGAATTATGTTTGTTTTGCATCGTATCTAATCGCTGCAGTAAAGCACTGGAACCATTTAGTCTTACTGATATGATGGGTCTTGACAACACCACATAAATATGTTTGGGAAAGAAATCAGTGAAGGATACAGGGAAAACTAAATACATAGTTCATGTATTAGCACTGGGAAAACACAAAGAAAAATAAAATTCTGAGATACAATTTCTCTTCAGTGATGCAGTTTCCACCTTCATGTTTGCTCACTCATGTTGCAGGTAGATCTCAAGTATCTTTTACCCCTTGTAATATTTCTTCCTTTTGCTCAAATGCCCATAGTCAGACTAGACATACTTACATTAAATTTTCAGATTTGAAAAAAGAAAGAAAAAAATCAAACAAACAAACAAACAAATGAGAAAACTCATGCAGTCAGAGATTACTGTGCATTAATAATGTTATTTCAATGTGACTCAATAGCACACAGTCACTTGAAAGATAGTACGTGAAAAAAAAACTATACAGTGAAGAAGCTCAAAGGCTTAACAATCAGACTGATGGTAAAAACAAGAGAGATGGGGAAATGTTGGCAACTAGTAACACACTTCAGGGGAATGAAAAAAAAAGAACCTGTAAAATTGACCTGTTGTTGCAGGGAGAAGCAGCTTACCATTCACAACTTTGCCATTAACATAGCATGCAGTGACATTAAATATCATGTCATGGAGAATAAGGAGAAGCGAAAGCATTGAGATGTGAGATTACCTCAAACCTACAGCACTGGAAAAGCTGCACTCTGTTTGAGAAAAAGGTCAGAGGGAAACCTACAACAAAGGACAAACCCAGCATACAGACAGAACACTGCCTACAGCACAGAGTGAGGGATCTCTAAATGCAGTTCCTCAATTAGTGCCCGAATCAGAGAAAGCACTTGAGCACCTGCAACCCTCCTATCAATATTCACAGGAAACAAAAATTATTTTTTCTATAAAATCCATGGGACCAGCAAGCAGTGGATAATATGAGTCATAGTCAGCTTTGGTTAAATGGGTCTAATTAGACCAGTATCAACAGGCTGGATGTGCTCAAGTCTGATTTGGTACAAAGAGCTGCGCATCTCTGTTGTGTCTGTTTTTGTGAACTATACAAATCAGAAGGAAAAACGGTCTGGACATGATCAGATCTAAGACATCAAAATGCTCTGTGATGGTAATATTCCCAGCCTTTTCTCATCCCCATGTAAGCCAAGCTTTGGTTCAGCCACCTCCACCTCTTTGGGATCAAGAACGTAAGTAGGGATTCCCCAGGCCCTGCTTGCATGGGGACTAAAGGGGATGCAATCTAGAAAGACATTTCAGTGGTTATTGTCACAGAGCAAATTTTCTCTTCCCTTTTAATATACAGACTCATCACCTCTCTTCAAAAATTCAACACTCTCATCCTACCTAGTTTATTGCAGTTTTCTGATACTCTGTATGCTGTCCAGAGCTGTTCTTAGACACAAGTCATGAAGAAGAGCGGCCACAGAGGACTCCATGACTTCTCTGAAGATACTATCAGTTGCCCACAGATCCCAAAAAATGAGGTATACAGCAGATAGTAATAAACTAGACATGTTAAAGGCTACTTTTATCATCCATTTTCTTTCCCAGTGAATAACAGACAGCATAACAAACTGCACAAGGCTTCTTATTCCAATTTTGTTGCATCTCAAAAACGCCTGTTACAACCTGAAAATGAAGATATCCTTTTGTTGTCACCAACCCAAATCCCCAAGTATTTCCTTCCTCACTGTAAAGGGAAATACTTTTCAGATGTGGGTGGCATAGCAATCATGTAATAAACAAAGTTGGCTTGGCAGGTGGACCATGATGGGTGGTATGTATGCAAACACACAGACAAGTATTTGTGTCCCAAGAACCTGTCCTGAGAAAGTGATTTGAGATGGAAGATCCCACTATAGCCTTGTTCTCTTAATTTCAACTAAATTAAGTGCTCCTCTGCAAAGCTGAGCAGTCACTTACCACAAACACCTATGGTTTGCCTTCCCAAATGTAAGCTTGGTAGTAGCCTGAGCATGTGAGGAAATCTGCTGATGAGTATGAAAAATAGTTTTCTCTTTCATGCACTGCAGAGAACAACACTTTACCTTTGAACAGCATCAGAAATATAATAGAAAATCTATCTAAAATTAAAAGATGTTTCTTATGTGCAGGATGAAAGATGATCTGCTGCTAAGTGATATGAAGATAAATTCCTTTTTAGAGGAAAGATGGTGTTTTGTGGAAGGAAAAAGCATATGTTTTCTACTCAAGATCTTACTGTTGATAGTCCACTTGCCATATGTTCCTGTTTTCTTGAATAACGAGAGGCCACTATGGCATCAATATCTTCTTCTCTTTCATCCAGATAATCCTAAATGACAAACAGGCATTTTAGTTGTCTTATTCTGCTGTGTATTTGGTCAGCCTCTGTCACTTAGTTTTGTTTCACATGTTTTCCACTTCAGGAAGACAATAGCAATGCAAATTCTATTCTCTAGAGGAATTTTGATTTACATTTTCCACATCTTTGCACAGGCACAGAGGATAAGGGGAAGAAGCTCTGTTACAGTTTCAGGGTTCAATTGCTTAAGAGCTGGAAAAGTTCACACATACACTTCATCTCTTATTCTGGAGGAACATATCTTTGCGTGGCCAACAACTACACATAAACAAAACCCCTCTTCCATGCCTACGAACAATCCCATGAGAATTAACTTATTCTGCTTGCTACTATTTGCATTCATGAATTCAGGTTTGAAAATCTTAGAGAGACATGGTGAGAATTTGTTAAATCTTAAGAAAAGAAATGAGTGAATTAAGGTTCCATTCCAGTGGCCAGAGGGGGCACTGATACTGGTTTACCTGAAGACATGTGTAGCCAAAAGCCATTAGATGATTGATTGGTTACAGCCCAGGTTACATGTCCATAACAGACAAAGTTTTTAGAATCCAGAAATCCAGTTTTCCAATTATTACCCACATTTGTATCAGTCACAGTCACACAAATAGACAAGCACACAATTTGCATTACATTTTCACCCTTTGTGCTGCAGTGTTTAGAGATGATTTTGTGGACACAGTCATTAAAACAGACCCCTTTTAACTGGCAGTCCTGAAAGCCCTGGGTTATTGTCAAACCACATGGGAAGAAACATGCCATCATACATGCTGAATACATTTGAGAGGTAAGCAAAAAATCAAGTTGATGGGCATTTTTAAAATTCCTGTACTGTTTTAACAAAAGAAAGGGAAGAAATTCAATAATTGCATAGCTTTGTATTTGTGCTCAAGTTTTAACAAGCAAGACTGAACTGCAACATCTTTAACTTATATAGAGAAAAAAATAATTTTCATTGTTTAAGGACAGCAATAAAGTAAAATCTAAAAAGAAACAAGATCTGGTTGATAGTTCTAATAGGACTCTTAACTTCTGCTTAAAGTAACAGGAAAAAATGCCAACAGACAATTATCATCCTATTAAGTATAGTTTGGAAATTTCAAGTGTTTCCTTAAACCTTATGGCAGGAAATTGAAAGACTCTGCTTTTAGTTTTGATGGAAGTCAAATGTTCAACTTCCTTATATCTGCTTTGCAGCTATAAAAATCTTGTGTTTTGACCTACCTCAATCTCTATTGCTTAGTTGCTCTCACTCTGAAACTAAACAGAGAAGTATTGTATTCAAATTCGGGGGTCTCAAAGACTGCTGTGCTAATCAGGAAAAACAGAGCAGAGAAGAAATGCTGCTGGAGAGTTGAACTGTCACAGTTTACATGGAAGATCTGTAGTACATTTGTTGTTAGTGTGCATAAAACTAGCTGTTACATCTCTTCTCCTTTGCTCAAGTGACTGAACTGAATAAAAAACAGCTGAAAGTGATGCAAAATTTTCTATTACCATTTTGCAGTTGTAACCACATATTTAATATTGAGCAAAGGGAAATCAGGACAAGCTATCGCTATTTGGGACCGAGATTTACATACTGAAACAAACACTCCTCTTGGCTTCATGTTCTTGCCATGAGTTTCCTCTGCTGGTCTCATACCTTTCTAACCTATTCAAGGCAGTGTTACCATCCCACAGAAAAAAAAAAAAGACGTCATAGATATTTATAAATACATAAAGAAAATATATATAAATATATAAAAGGAAAAATCCATGGAGATCCAGGCACAACAAAGCAAGCTATTTCAGGTAGACAGAGAGCTGAATCCTCCAAAATAACCCCCCACCAAAAACCTGAAATAAAAACAAAAAAACCCCAGTCTACCCTTCATTTCTACTTCACTAAGTTCAGAATTCAGATGATGTACTCTAGTTTTAAATTTGTAACAAGAAAACACAATTTTCTTTCTTGCTCATATAACAGGAAGGAGCAGTTCTGGTAATACATATAAAACTATTTCTTTTACAGTGCTGTATGCATACCAGTGAACTTTAAAATAAACAGTGCTACATTTTTATTGCTGAATAATAAAACACAAGAGAAAAAAAAAGAGGTAAGGCTCTTCAGACTGGGGTGTTGGGATGTTTCAGATCTAGACACTCAAATACTGACAGTGTTTCACAGAGTCCTAAGGACTGCTAATTGACTACCAATTTTTTGTCTGCAAGCAGATATCTAAAACTTGAAAAAAAACCCAAAAAGGTTAATGTTTAATCTATGCTCTTCATTCGTTTTACACCAAGATGATTATGTTTCTCAGGAGGTGTCACAGAACTGCGACTACATAACTGGTTAGTGTTATTAGCTTATTAAAGTTAGAGCTAGTAGGATATTAATCTCATGGTCTCCAGTGGGGGTTATAAAATGCACATCATCCAATTACTTCTGAAAAAGCAGCTGAGCATGCAATGAACACTACCTCTCTAGACAAGGTGCTCACACTTGAACACTAGATTTAACTGGTTCCCTCTGTTCCTTGCTAAATACCTACCACACTATGTGGGGTTTTGGGGGTTGTCCCTTTTGACTAGCAAAAGCAATTGTAAGTTAGGGAAGCAAAATATCCATTCTATTTTCCAGCTAATTTCTCTGTATGTGTACTGGGTTTTCCTGATAAAGGTGGGAGCAAAGCAGCTGAAAGCCTTTTCCCATCCTTCCAGCTGATAAATTTCAGCAATCTGCATATCCTATTGACATGTGGCATCTCCTACACCACTGCTGTCAGCTCCCATCTCCCAGGACCGAAGGACCTCAGCCAACTCCATCAGTCAGCAGAGAGGAAAGGAGGTATAACTTCCTAACTTTTCTCAGGCTGCAGAAGCTGTTGTTACCCTCATCAGATCTCTTTCTCTTTGTCTCTTATATCAAGCAGCAAGTTATACTGAGCATCAAACTAAATTCCAGCAGGAATACAGCTTTTATCTCAAAACACTGCATCCATAATGATTATAGGATAAGACTATGAAGGACTCCTGTGGGTCAAACTACCCTGAAAAATATGGTAACACTAAAGCTGATGAATGCAATCAATTCATTTCGTAAGGCAGAGAAAAGGGAGGATATGGGTAGAATCAGAGGTCTGTGAATCCTGTTATGAATGAATTTTAAAAGGGAATGAGTGCTCTCACAGACCCTGGAGCAACTAAATCAAGGTTATGCCACAAGAGAGGTGTCCTATGCTAGCAAAGGAGCTGGAGATTTGCTGAGTGCAATTTAAAATTTCATCCAGAGACAGCAAGAAAGAAAAAGGAAAAAAAAATAGGAAAAAAGAAAGCTGCATCTGAACAAGAGGAAGACAAAAATCAAAGGACAGAAAAAACCTCTCTGGACTTGTCATGTCTGACATCTGCCTCAGAGAAATACCAAAGTAGTATCTATCAGACCCTGTACAATTAGAGCAGAGAATTGGTATAAAGACATTTAAAGTCTGTATTTTCTTACTTTATGCTTTTCTTCTGCAATATTTTCCAGCTTCTTAACAAAGAACACATCCTTTTTCTTGTTTACAATTTAAAAATAAACCACTTATTTTTGAAGTTTTTCTTCCACCAACATCTGACACACTCCTTAAAGAATAACTCAAAGCAATGCTGCAGGCAAATTCTCTGACTGTTAACAGTCCAAGAAACAGATGGAAATCCCAACATGTGATTTTCCACCAAGACACAAGTATCAAACTGTACAAGGAGGGGAGACATCTCTCATGGTCAATGCTCTTCTGAAAAGAACAGATGGTAAGGAAGGACTACGACAACAGACAAAATACATAAGCTACAAACACACATTTGGAAACTTTAGAATAAACTATGATTACATGAATAACTATTTAAATAACTTTTTCCTCCCTCATGCATATTTAACAAGCTTGGATGTTTTTTTATAGCATTGATGCACATCTGTAAATTGCCTAGCTTGGATATGTGCATAAGAAGAGAAGGAAATTGTGAATCACTTCAGTAAAAGCAGTTCATAAAATACACAGAAAAAGACATGGAGGTGTATGGAAGAGTCAACAGGCAAAAGAGCTAAACAACAGGGGCAGAACAGAAAGTCGGGTCTTCATTTGCTAAAAAATGTAGATAAGGGGAAAACCAAACCAGATAAAGTCTTTAAAGTATGGAATTTCTCAGCATCAAAATTTAAATCTATGAAAGTATGAATCAACAGAACTTGAGTATGTGTAATTTATTGCCTGGAACTTATTTTCAGGCTAGATTTCTTTCACCTGTGCACTCAAACCCCCAGCCAATTAATAACAAACTGGAACCATGACTCAGAAGATGACACTGTTTAAAACTTCATTAAATATCCCTGAAATAATGTTCTGGATTACCCATATTTTACATCAATACACATACAGTGCTGATTTCATAAGTCTAAACAAACAGAATTTCCACCAGATAAACATTTGCATCTTTATAACTCACCAGTTCCTGATCTAAGGCACTAGGTACAGATTTGCTTCTTATGCTCAGAGTATCCTCATTTCCTTCAGAGAAGGATTCACTCAAATCTATCTCAGATCGGCTACGGTCTGCAAAATAAAATCAATTAAAATGTTTGCTATAATTTGTACCAAGATATTCATTTCATATCCCATACAAGTATTGTCCCAAACCCAACTGTTTTTTAAGAAAAAAAATTCATCAAAACAATAGTTCAGTTACTCGTCGAAAAGTTTTGACTTTCTCTGGGCCCGTCAGCCTGGAATATTGCAAAACTTGCTGTCCAAGTGCTCACAGTAATTACCTCCCACCACCACCAAATTTGCTTCAGCATCTGTTTCAGAATCAAGCAACTGGGGATACAAATGGATGCAGAAAGTACTTCTGACATTAATGCTGTTCCTTGTGCAGAAATTAGTAGAAAACAAACAATTCTTAAGACCTCCAGCAATTCCTTTCAGTCCCACGGGTCTCTCATCCACTCTATAGGCATAAAACACAGATGTCTTGGAGAAAGATTTTCTTAGTCCTCCCCACATAAATATTTTGTTTGACTGTTTCAATATATTTGGGAAGAAAGAGAGGGAAGAGAATACTTTTAGATCCTGCAGATAGGAATCTGAATCTTTTTAACTGTTCATCTTCTACCTGGTCTACAGTTGATGTGACAGGAAAGGTCACTCTCCTGAGCTTAATGTCCTTTGACATCCCACAACAAGGAGACAGTGAAGAGTTTGAGGCCAATTCCCAAGTTACCTGCAATTTTGTTTGGCATCAATCTGCTTTGGTAACATGAGGTCAGTTCTTATCTGTTAGGAAAGCCTTTATTTTATAAGGGAGCAGGAACAGGAGAATTTTCACTTCATAAAGGAATAGCCATCTGTAACACTTCTGCCTGGAGTTGCACTGTATGATATTATCAAAAGAAACTCAGGTGCTTTCAGGCTGAAGTATCTAAGGTAAAGGACATTACCTCCTTTGATTAACTCTGTGGGATACACCACTAGGTTTCTGCTTTGGGCTAAATTCAGCTGCAATAAAATGAGTCCTGCTGTGTTTCAGAGAGAAACCTGCAAACCCAAACCCACTCTGTTATCCCTGTAGGAAGCCAACTGAGTGCCTGGGAGAAGCAGAAGAGTGCAGGGTGTTCCTATCTCCTGTTTCAGATTGGAAAAAGAGGATCTCCACCTGCTGCTGCAAAGTGGCTGTGACAGCACCTTTCTGTGCAAGCATTTTTCACCTAACAGCCTCCCGTGAAATAAGGTAAATTACAGACTGATTGATTGGTTCAGTGCATCACATATAAAAATGAAACGACATAAAGTCTGTAAGGGGCTTGATCTCTGACCACTCTTTGTTTCCCAAATTTGCTTCTGGGCAAAGTGGGTGTGAAATGTAATGGCAGAAGCAGAGTAGTACTATATACAGATTGCAGACAGGTAGCATTTTATTCAGGTGAGCACATAGAGAATGATTTAACAATGTGCAATTGTGACTGAAATCTTTTAAATTCTGAGCATGTGATTTACCTAATACTCACATTGTGCCAACATTACTGGGGTTAGAATTACCATTTTCTTCATGTAAAACTTGTGAAGTGGTATCAAATTGGTTAGTAAAAGGGAAACATTTTCAGAATGAATATGAACAAATTTATAAAACTTACACCTGGTCTTTCATTGTACTTTAAAAACAAAAGGAGCAGAGTCATAAGAATAGGAATAATCCTCTGATAGTAAAGGCTGGTAGAAAGGAGGAAAAGATTTAATACTTGCCTGATGACAAAGATATCCTAGAAACTGCAATGGAAGGTGTTCCAGATGCTTTCCTACAGTGCTTCTTTACTAAATCTTCAGGGACACTTTCACTTGCTGGAATAATCATGCCATTTTCTAAGCCAGTGTCCTGCCCAATAAAAAAAATGCACACCCTATAAATATGAAAACTGAGCTTATTCACTATCAGTCTATAAAAACATCATTTCTATTAGATCCCAGAACTCCAAAGCTCCTTTAGCAACCAGCCTATTACTGAACATATTTAGATTCCAATCTAATCTACTTCACTTAGCACTGATCATGCATAAAATTTGCACAAAAATGGGATTTATGCTTACATGCTGAGTTTGCAGCTGAAGAATCAGAGCAGCTCATCAGGAGTGAGGGAACTGAAATACTCAAATCTACTGGAAGTTCACTTAGCTCAGAAATTAAAACAAACAAACAAACAAACAAAAAACCTATGGGTTTTATACCAGCATTATGATTTCAGCCAAGGTAGAGCCAAATGGACTTGAACTAATTAAATTATGCCAGTATGACCACCTTAAATAAAGCCAATATATTTGATATCATTATGACTTTTTGCCTTCCTGTAAAAGAATGCCCAATAACATAACTCCATCTAAATTAAATGAATTTTTCAAAGAAATTGAATGCACTTGAAAACAAGTCAGTCTATATGCCAGAAAGAGTACAAATGAAATAACTATTAATTTATTTACAGGTCCCAAAACTGCCTTTCATGTATACTAACTTTTTTTTTGTTGTTAGGAAAGACAACATATTAGAAAGAAAATTGGTGCATTTAATAGGGCTCTGATCTAAACACTCATCTACTTTTTTTTCAAACACTGATGGAAAAAGGCACTGACTATAAATTTTACTTCCCCTGTGCACTTAAATCATGGCAACTTAGGATAACTTGCTAGTAAAGTCTTGATTTTTCAAGAGCATGACTGAAATGAATTGGGGAATGGCATCTCCGTGCACAGCCAGGAGGAGATGAGTGGCAAACAGGCAGATTGTCTGGGAATAAAGAGAGTGTCTGCTTCTGGATAGAAGAGCCACATCCTTCTACTGATTACAAAAAGCCAAGGTGGCCAGCCTAGCTCAGGTGTGGCCACCTACATCCTAAGAGGCCTAAAAGGAGGTGAGAGGAATCATTTTGATAATGTGTCTAGCACACATTTTGTGTTATGGCATAATTTATGCAGAGCCCAGTGTCCAAATCCAGAAAAAACTAAAATCAGTTTGGCCCAATTTTTCGCAAGTGCTGGATTTTCAGTTTCCCTTACAAGTCAGTGGGAGCATACTGGACCCTGCATGCTTGAAAGTCCTGTCCTTAGTTCATAGCACTTAGTTAAGGCCCTGAAGTGCCAAAAATGCTTATTCCCAAACCCTTGTGCCTCCCAGTTCAGAATTTTTAACTCATTATATAATGCTGGACATCAACAGCAATTTTTAGACAAAAGAGAACAGTCTGCCAAACCAAAAACCACGTCACTGATAGAGCATGACAAGTTCTGTTCCAGCAGAGATCTTCACTAGACCCAGCAGAACTAAGGAAGAAATAAGATCTTCTCTGTCAGGCTTGTCTTTACTGGGCTACAAATCGATCTAACAGGGCAGATACCAGCCAAGTCATCTTGTTTGGTGTCAGCTGTGCTTGGTCCACATCACTGTACTTACCCTGCTATAATCTGCAGTCATGCTGCGCGTGCTGAGCGCTGGAGACCTCGGGAGGGAAGGTATGGGAGCACTGCCCCCCCTCACAGGACCCACAGCCCCTCTCAGATGACCTGCAGCAGCCTCCACAACACTGCTGTTCAGTGAAAGAGTGCTCCCTCTGGGGTGGAGAGAGGAGTATTAAAGGGTTATTGCTTTGAGCAAACCAAGGCAACCCATTTAGCAAACCACTGCAAGAAAACAACTGTGCTTACAGGTTTCGAGAATAACATTGCCCTGGATGGACTGTGTGATCCCCTGCAAGGAAATGGTCATTGGAAAAGGAAAAACACAGGCAAAGGTGAATTACCATCATTTTACACATAAAAGCATTGTCAGTACTTCTACCAGAACTGTAAATAGCTCAAATGGGCAGCTCCTGTCCAGGCTGCAGAAGAAACGATTTGTCTTTCATTTCACACCACATTCACATCCCAGCAGTAGATGTGACAATTCTTGCAACCCTTCCTACCAGGCTGCTGCTTGGTGTAAAGGGAAACTTCTGACCACTTCTGCAGCCAATGTAATGCCAGCACCATCTCCAGAAAGTCTAAAATCCTTGGCTATCTGCTCTCCAAGCTCTCCAGAAAAACACCAACTCATTCACTGTCCAATTTATGTTGCAATAATGACTTTTGACCCAGAGCAGTTGATTCTTTCAAGCAGTGTGCACAGGTCTTCTTGCCAGGTTTCACATTAGTAAAAGTGACAAAAAATCATCTGTGATCCTCATAGCAGAAGCCATTGCTGCCTAACATCACAACAGGCAGAAATTTTTCCATGGGACATTTTATATTAGAAGATACTGATAAGTCCATGTGAAAGTTGAGGGATAGAAGCGGTAAGCTCTTGCACTTTTTTAACCTTTTGAAACAATGAAAACTATTTTAAAATGTATTTCAACACATTTCTAATTAAAGTTTTATTTTATTTGAAATCTGATTTGCAGTAAACATAACACATTCCTGGCAGATCAACTCTTCTTTCTCAACAAGCATCAGTTCAAACCTTTTATTTTTCCTTCACATTTCAGAGAAATCTCAAAAAGTCTTGCAGGACAGTAAGAGATATTCATACAGTCCTACTTACTATATTAATATTTAAAAAATTATTAGTAAGTGGGAATTGAAGGAATTGTACCCTTTCCATGTGGAAAATATGGTGTCAGAGGACAATAGCAGTACAAATTTGCTGGAGAAAGTTTTTGGAACTTACAGCATATTTTCAGTCAAAAGAGGCTTGCTTAATAAATATTTCAGATTTGCTGGCATCGTCATTGTGCTGGACAACAGCTGAATTTCTCCTTCACTAGGTGTAGGCTGTTATATCATGTTTAGAGTAACTACAGTATAAATCTTCTCTACCGCAATCTAAATTTTTATTAAAACTACTGTTAAACTGGGAAAAAATACTCTGCCACACCACAGCTCCAGTCTCACTGCTACATTAAACAATGAGCACGGGCTCTGAATCCACGCTGGTAGAAAAAAAAGGAATACAAAGGACAATCCTGAAGATCAGGATTATCTAGAAGTGTTGTGCAACCATGTTTTTGTCTTTTAATGAGCATATGGTAACCTTATTAACAATTACTATCCAATTTCATATACTGGCAACTGTAGATAGTGCATAAATAAACACACTCCTATTCATGTGCACTTCACATACACACACTGCTACCTTTTAATTTGATCAGCCAGTGATCAACAAATTCTACTAAATATGCTGTGGTTGGATTTATCTTTTGATATAAAGATGCATCTTTGATGCTGTAAAGTCAGAAAAATCAGTTTCTGGCTGTCATCTGTATTTTATCAAAGCTGTTGGACTCAGATGCACACACTTTAATTTCCAAACCTGCCAGTGCATGTAAAGCAACCAGGGTGTTCAAAACCTGATTTTTATTGCATATCACATCACTTCTGCTGGATTGTTGTGACTTTCTGTTACAAAAACTGTGTAAACTGATATAAATCAAGAGAAGTGTTCAGAAGTGAGCTGGGATAAAAGATTTGAGAACATATAGCAAAGGGTTCTGCAGGAATCTTCAGTCAGACTGACCACTTGCACATCAGACCTGCTAACAGGCCTCTCCTGTCCTTCGTCCTTATTTCAGTCTGTTGTTAGAGAAAGATTCAACACTTTTTATACATTTTAAGTAGACAACAAAAGAAAAGTATTGTTGTGACTACATGGTAGACAAGACTTCAGTATGATGGAGTAGAGTGCCTGTGTAGATGACCCTGAAATTCCTATACTATTTCTCCTAGAGGTATCCTGACCTCATGCAGCCTCACAGTTCATTCAGCAGCAAAATCAGCAAACATTTTTGCTGGAGTAGAAATAAAGTTGAAGAGGTGGACTTGTGGCCTATGTCTCTCTGTTCCCAGATCAGTACATCTTTTCTTAAACAGAAACGTTTAGAAAGAATGAAAATTCTGTCTCCATTTCCCTACTGGAAGGTGAAATACCACCAATTTTGACAGTGCAGCTGAAAAGACGAAGGCAACGACAAAATCAGAAATATGCAGGAAAATCTAGGACAGCTACAATGGCCCAAGATGTTATATATTTATAATGTGAAACTCAAAATAGTTAGGGAGGGTAGCCTGGGAAGCTCTGCTGTTATTTTTAATAATTACCGCTCAGTTGTATAAATTAGTAACACATAAAGTAAGCAAGCATCCTCAGATGCTTGCTCAGATACCTAATTAAGTATTTAACCATGTATGTGCAAGACAGGAATTTTCATTCCTTTGCTAAGTACAAGCTGTTCCTCAATCCTTCCACAAACTGCTATTTAGAAAGTGCCATATCTTCCACAGAGAGTAAAACAATTCATCCTCCTATGAACAGAACCTCCTGGCAACACAGTTGGGTTACTCTGACACAGGACACTGATCTCTCCAGGTGAGAATCAGATGACAAGTGCAGAAGGAAGTTGCTGTAATAGCTCAATACCCCTAATTTAAAAAGTCCTGCACCCTGACTCTGAGCAAAAGCTAGAAATTGATGACTTATGTGTCAGTCAAGCAAGGTAATCTAACGCAAAAGCTATCTTTACAGACTACTTCACTCTATCTTTCTAAATCTGTACACAGAGCTGACCAGGTGCTGAATTCCACTACCCACATAAAATTATTTTGCTTCATTTATGGGTAACTGCATGATAATTTACTTGCAGTTTGGCACATAAAAACAGCTGCACAGATCTCTCACAAGGATCCCTTTGTCCTGGTAAACCCTGAGAGAAAGCTACTTAATTAATATTGCATAACCTCAGGGTTAAGCATCACAGACACCAGATTTCTGAGGTTTTGTCACTCAGATCCTTCACTCACCTCTATTCTAATCAACAGAAAGCAAAACAAATCCTGGAAAACAGCAAAAATGCTACTACTGGTCTCACAGAAGTCGGGTATGAATCTGGTTAGATACAGAATGCCTAATCAGCTAAGTGAAAAAAAAAATAGTGAACTGTGTATGGATTACAGAAGGAAAACTAGCTCTGATTGCCTAGTGAGTGCTGCAACATCCAGTGGAAAAAAGAACCCAGTTATAAACTTCCAACAAGATTGTCACCATCAATTTTAGACATGTTGCAGAACATCTAGAATTTGGGGTTTTTGTATTGTAGGTAATAAAGAGAAGAAAGTTCTTGCTTAAACAAGAAGGCTTATCTATGTGAATTAAACTTCATGATGATCCTTTTAGCTGTTACCCTGTGTTCCTGTATACCTTTTTAGAGTCTCCCAGAAACACTGTTTTAGAGATAGACATTTCCATTGGAACTTACAGTAAAATTAGTGCTTTTTTTTTTTAATTTTTGATCCAAATTATAACATTTCTGGGTGTGTGCACCTGAGCAAAAAATGTTGGTCTATATCCAGTGCAGACTATCCAACTGAACAAGAAAAATGGGAATTATTTTTTTGCTTAATTTTGAAGGTAGGACATAAGAAGAATGTTATTGTATCTGGCATTTTATAATGCTATCAGAGGCAGTAACAGAGATCTCTTAAGCCCAGAAGAATGATTAAGTGGGATCCTACTAGATATAACTGGGACAATAATCCTGAAAAGAGAAGGGCAAACAGAGCCTTTGAAGAAGAAAATACAAATTATAATCAGTTAACATGTCATTACTGAAGAAAAACAAAGAGCTCAGTTCTGCAACCAGAACACAGCTCATCTATTAAAAGTCAGAAAACAAAAACCAACATACTGACATCAATCACCAGCCAAATACAAGGAGAGTAAAATGAGAGGAATGGAGGAAATGTTTAGTTTTGTTGGGGGTTTGGGCTTTTTTTGGTGTTTGTTTGTCTTGTAAACATAAGCTTTGCTTCTCAGACAGTATTAATGCTGAGTATTGAAAGACACAAAGCAACACAGGGGCCTGGCAGACACCCCAGGTCAATGCCAGCATGAGCTGTACCAGATCACTGCTCACCTCTCAGAGCATGGTGCTGACTTGCCACTACGCAGACTTTGGGTTTCAGCTTCTGAGCCTGTATTCCTCTCACCTCCATCTTTTGCATATGTAATTTCTCCTTTGGTAACTGCCCTGATTATCTTCCTGGTGAAAACAGGGAACAAAGGATTTTTAAAAGTTGTGATGTGCACATTCTACTGATTTCATCCGTCTGACCTGCGGACAACTCTGGATATAAGGGTCAACACAGCACCAAATGTGGTTATCAAACTGATTCCCATGGGGAAAAAAAGCATCATATTTACTACAAGCTGTTTTTTAAGACACAAAACATTAAAGCATCTCTCCTATTCAGCATGGCCACTTCCAGCTTTGAACCAGAAGTGCCCTTTGTGAAAATTTCTCACTTTTTTTTTTTTTTTACAGTTTACAGATAGCAAAGTATTTTTTACTTAAATATGTTTATTTTCCCCTAGCAAATTATGCTATATATATTTTCTCTGGAAGGTATTTCTACAATTATAAACATTAATGCCCCAAACGTGCCATTTTCCAAAAAACATAATATCACCCCCTTGCCTTACAAAACATGGCCTAGTAAGAAAGAAATTAATGAAATTAATTAAAGTTTTGAAAAACATTAATATTTTTTCATAACCTTACAAACAACAATAGTCTGATAAGTTATTTCATAACATTGTCAGTAGCAGTTGGCCCCAAAAGAGTCTCGTTAAAACAAATCCGCTCATGAACTACTCCTAAAAGAGGTCACGAAATATACTAGAAAAAGCAAGCCAGATCATTGTAGGATTAAATTTCTGTTACGGGAAACATCACAAACAAAAAACCATTTCAGGCCACAAACAGAAAGAGACTGAGCACCACTAAAATAAACAACAGACAATTATAAAAATAATTGTTTCCCATAGGGGAATATGACTAATAGATTTGCACAAAGGATTTAAATGGAAGAAGGATTAGAAAAGTAAACTTTAATGCACTCTTATCATATCTATCAATTAGCATGACTTAGAGCAACATCTAGGTCTTATTACAGTAGAATCCCTAAGCTGTTTCTTTCTTAACCATAATTTGAGAAGCCAGGGGTGTTCTGATGCTCTTTTCCCCTATATTAAAGAGAGATAAATCACTTATGTTAATTCCTGAAATCACTGGAACAATGCCATACTCAACTCTCCTCAGAAGTAAAAAAGCCGCAGAAAGCATCCACCTACCCTATATTTAGGATCCATAATAGAAATGTGTTCTTCCTTTCAACAGAAACAAAGTTTTCCAACTGTCAGCCCATGGAACTCCAGCCATAATATGAACATCCACCCAGTTTTTCTTCCCATTCACCCAATAACCTCAAGTTAGGTCCAGACATCACTCGCGCAATTATATATTCAATGCATCTGTTCATGTCCCCTGAGAGCAAGCAAGTGCTCTTCTAAGGACAGAGCCAGACTGGGGTTAAACACTGCAAGATGACCAGCAGCAAATCTGTCCATTCACTGTCAGGCTGCATTTGCACAGACAGAAACTAAAGGAAAACTTGACCTGTAAGCAAATCTTACCAGTATACACAAAAAACTGGTCCTCCAAACCCAATTTTTTGCATTTATTTCTTCAGCAAACCTGCCTTTAAGGACACTCTTTTACGTCTGAGTATAAACAAGAAAAATCCAGGAGTAAAACTGACTTATTTTCTGTTACCTTCATAGCTGAAGAGTAATTATTGCTGCATTTCCCAGGAAACAGCCATCTAATCATAATAAGTATGACTTTAAATGAAGGCTGTTTCTGACCCTGGAAAGTTTGAGGCTAATGCAGAACACCGGAAAAACTCATAAAAAAATCTTTCCAACATATGAAATTATTTTCATATTTATCAGTTTCTGGGGAGAAAACAAAAAAAAGGCTTTACCCTATCTTTCTAGGTCTGCTGAAGACTGACTTATGCCCACTTGTGGAGGAGACTGATACATCTGGCTTTTGTTCTTCATTCTCTTGGGGTTGATCTTTGAATGTTCTTTCTTCATCTGTATTTGAAACTGTATCTGCAGTGGAGGGGGAAAGAAAAAGTGAATGTTTGCATGAAAACACAGTCTATGTCAAAAAACCTACAAAAATAGATTTTCCATTTTTAACATAAAAAAATAAATCTTTGTGACAAAATATAATGATAAAACCTTGTGGGTTGTTTGGTTTTTCCTTTTAATAAAAGAAAATAAAACTGTAAGTAGCTTAAGATGTTTCTCATTATCAGCTTGCCTTGAACTGTGCTTCTTTTTTATCTTAATCACTGACAACATTAAATAACCAATGGACCTGAAATTTAATTTTGAAGTGGACAGTATTTTCTGTGTTGAATGAAGGAGTGTTCTCCTAATGAGAGTTTGTTCAACTTGGAGCAAAGTAGCATGAAAACGGCTTAAATATATTTTTCAATATATTTATCAAATAACAAAGTAACAAATCACGAGCTACACAATCTGATTGGTGACATAGTATCAAGAATGTTGGATAGTCCCAGTTTTACAGCTTCTGAAGCACAATGTTACTGGCAAGATCCGCCTTTTGCCGAGCAGCATGTTTGCACCAGGCATTTTTTCCAATGGCAGCAAACCAGTCCCTCTCCTTACAAACTACCATCACCTTCCTCCTGCAAGTGATGCTATGCCTGGAACAGACTGCCCAATGAACAGCTTTGTGTGCAGAGGGAAGGAGTTAAGTGAATGCAAAGCATCAGCATGAGGAAAACCTCCTGTTTCTTAAACCAGTGGTCCCGTGGTACCACCCAAGGTACCTAAGCAGCTCACAGACACAGTACACTTGCTGTGCTTGGTGAAGACAGACAGACCCTTTACTGTACCTAAAAGTGCAGGTGCAATCTGTTGGAGACACATGGGCAAAAAGAAAGTCTGAATACCAAGTAGTCTGGTTATAGCCCATGCTCAGTAAACAGCACAGGAGTTAATATTTACCTTTCTTATTCAGAGTTGGAAGAGAAAAATTGAGTACTTTTTACACACTGCCATCACAAATAAAAGAGCTAAAGTCAAAAAATGTCCAGGTTTAGATTTCTCCATGCAGCCAAACTTCCTGGTAGGAACTGAGAATAAACCTTCAGAGCCTCTGCTGCTGGGCTTTGCTGCTGAATATCACTGTCCACCTGTTTTGACAGTAAGTCTTTCAGCAGCTATCTCCACAGAGATACTTCTTTCATATAGGCCTTACCTTTCCTGTACATTAATCATGCACAAATCACTACATAGGAAGACATGAACACAAAAATAAAATTAAAATACAGATTATACTTAAAACTTCTACAGTCAAAATAAGTCAAACACTCAGGAAACAAGGTTTGAACATATTAAGCACAAGCAAATCTCTCTCTTGAGGCCCCTACCTGGGAATTTGTGTAGGATAGATTGTCTGACAACATCAGTTCCAAGATTTGACTGCTTGAATCGCTTTGCTCTCTCCTCAAAAAACCATTCTCCCGTCACTATCCGTAGCTGCCTGTATGGGGAAAATTAAAAAGCCAGAGACATACACACATTAACAAATTTGGCCAACCCAGGCTACTGCTATTCATCATTCTACTGTCACGCTCACAAATTCTGGACAACATTTACATAGTTTAAAGAGTAAAGAGACTGATTGTAAATCTTGGGATAACAGGACACATAGCTGAAAAATATCATTTTACTTTGTGAATGGAAAGCAATTTTCAGTATATGGAAATTTTCTTTGCAAAGAAAGCATTTCAACCACTTTTACTGGATTTCTGTAAAAAACATGTAACACACTGTAATCCTACTCCTTTGTAAACTATTCAACCTCACAGTTTCCAATAGCTCCAAAATTACAAGAGACATGGAATCAGCAACAGTGGGTACAGGAAGAAAAACTCCCACCAAAACTCCTTCCAGGTGAGTCAGCAGTTCATGGACCCAACCTGGCTATAGACAGGACACTGCAAGTCTATATATATTTTTCATCCCTAGTTTGATATGCTGACACTATATGCAGGTTCTTCACATGACAGTGCTGCTGTGAATTAGCTTTGTGCCAGAGGTTCAGAGCAATGAAAATTTGCCTTTGCTATTGTTCTGGATAATGCTGCTTTTCCGATTTCAAATTATTTTACCTATACTAGCAATTAAGAAAATCTGTACTGGCACTGCTGTTTTCCTTGAGTATATTTTTATGCTGATTGTTAGCTTTTTCCTGAATTAGTTTCATTATGGCACAGCATGACCATTTCTACTGCCTCACTAAATAGAGTTGATGGTAAAAAGCTACTAATCTTGAACACTCTAATAAAAAGCAAATAAACAAACTAATAAACCCCAAACATTAAAAACTGATTTAGCTCCAGACATGTTCCTGCTTACTGTTCAATAAGAAAACTTATTTCCAAACCTACACTGGAAAAGAAACCATCTAGTCTCTTGGGCATGAAAAGTACTACAGATGGATTTAGAGCATTGATCAATATCCTGGCTAATAAATTATTTTTGAGTCGTGCCTGAAACGAGAGTCTTACCTGAGAAAATACTAAAAATTACTGAATAGCATCCTATCATTGGTGAAAAGACCCTAACATTATCAGTTCTTCCTTGCCCATTAATGAATCACACATCTCTGCATGACTCACTAAAAAAAATAAAATTAAAAAATGAAAAATTAAAATTCAAAACATGTATCCACAAGCATAGAAATAGATTACTGCCTTATCTTGTTGCAGACTCCTAGTGACCAAACCTTCTATAATTCATCATCACAATCACTCAGTCATTATGAAAGGCAGTAAATAAAAGCTCTATGCTTCCACTGAGAATTTTTAAATTACTTCAGTTGTTCACAGATGCTGGAAAGGATTCACTTCATTAGAAACTCTGCACAGTCTGGCTAGTGTGTAAACTGCTTTTTAAACGTGCATTTTTTCAATTCCTTTACAGCACGCACTTCCTTGTGCAGTATTCTATAGCAAGATTTATGGTAAGTTTAATGTTTTATATCAAATCATAAACCTTTCAGACCTTTCACTACCCCATCAAATTCCATTGCCATACAAAAGATGTATCACACATTCATTTTTTTCCTCAGTTTGACCTTAAAGCTCCACAAGTGCTGCTTTCCCCTTGATCAAAGATTTCATTCATCCTTAATATCTTACTACAAATACTTAACTTGATCAAGGTCACACAGTTCACTGCCCACAGACTTATCCAGAAAAGCACCTTCACCCTTCTCCAAGCTCGGACAAACAAGGATAAGGTGTGACCAACGCCAAGGGTTTCAGCAGAGTGGGAGGCTGCTCCCCACAAACCTACAGGCTTTTACAACCAAACCTTGTAATTATTTCCACACACAACCCTGATTGTGACACCCACCCAGGGTGCTGGGGTTCATGGAGAGGCAGCTCTCTGCCACAGGGCCCCTGGATGCAAAGTGATGAGGGAAAGAAAACCTCTCTGATGCCTCCTGCATCACAAGCACCCAGGAGATCTCAGCCTGGGTGGAATGTTGGCTGACCAGTGTGTCTACTTGTTTTACTACATGTTATTGCAATCTATTGTGGAGATTCAATCCTGTGGTAGCAGGACCAAGGGCTCAAGGAGAGTCATGGGGGCTGGAGAGATCAAAGGATCCGCAGCCAAGGGAAGGATGGTTGGTGCAGCTGTGGAAGGAGACTGGGAAGGAAGAGGATGAAGGGCTGCTGGGCTGTACAAGGAAGGATCAGCAGAGGTGCTGTTGGTGGAGGGAGGTCCTCCCCCAGCATCCATCCCTAGGAAAGGGTCTTCCTCTCCTTCTTCACTCCACTGGGGTATGGGTCCCCTGCTACCTTAGAGCTCACCATCAATCTCCCTCTCTCTGAGTCCACTCCATCCCAACCTCTTCTACTCCTCCCTCTGGGACCAAAGCAGACTGAAAGATGGGAAAGGCTCACACCAGGCTCAGAATAAGGAATGAGTAGTGTGGAGAAGGACTTCCTCTTACCATCCCCTTGTAGTAGTAACCAGGATCTAAAATTCTTCTTGCTCATGGTCTCAAAGATGTGCAGGGAAGAGACAGTTTAGTCTATTTGGGCAACACTAGCTGATCCTTTTTCCTTCTGGCAATGGATAAATAAGCAATCCACTTCTCTTACTAATCTCTCTCTGCCATCTGTAACCTGCTACCATTAAACAGCCCCAAATTACATAGCTGGTGCTCTCTTACTTAGCCAAATAAGTTTAGGGTCATCGCTGCATGCTCTGGCAAACACAAACGGGGCCCCCAAGGAAAGAAGAGTGTGCAAATCCCTTTTGCTGGTGTGAGTGGGACAGGGAGTGTGACAGTCACTACACTGACAGGGTTGAACTGCATGCTTGTTCAGCTAATGATGGCAAACTGAATTGCCCCTCTTCTTCATCAGACTGATGTTATTTAGCAGCAATGAGATCCACATTTCCAACTGAGGTGCCAGATTTTTGGCAGGGCTACTTTGAAGAGGCCCTTACACATTCTGCTCTAACTTCACCAAGAGAACCAGGTCTAAGGTAAAACACAGACATCTCAACTGAGGCACGAAATGTGGCAAATAAGGGTAGCATTGCCTTATTTTAGTCAAGTGCTTCACTTCTCTGGCCAACCTCGTTTATCCACAGTGAAAGGATAAAAACAACAGCCATTGACAGCCAGCCATTGCGACTGCCTCATGGAACAAGTCTAGAGGCCTCAACACTCATTTCAGACCTTCATCCTTATTTTCATCAGTGTTATTTTGTGTTTTGAGATCCGGACTTCTAATGTGGCAGTCCTTTTTTGCAAAAATGTCCTTACTCAACAGATCACCTCTACAAAAATATCATTTTCTAATGAAGTAAAGGGGAAACCCCTAAAGCTTTGAATTTCTACTACACTACTATCGGTTTTATTTTTCACATACACTGAACAATTCACACAAAGACTAGTGATCATGTTATCTTAATCACTCACAGGTGTCAGGAGTACCTATTAAAAGAATTTTTGTTCTACACATAAATAGAAATGATTTCAGATCAAATGACTGCTTAAGTCTCTGACTCGAAGTTTAAATTTCATAATTGCATTTGACATTCTGAATCAAAAATTGAAAAGCGAGACCTAAACAGTCTTATAATAATGTTATTTTCATGTATTTATAATTATGACAAAGGCACTCTGTCTTTTCTACTGAAGATGGTGCATCTCTGTTCTATTTCTGATAGAGGACTTAAACATACCCTTTCTGTATAAATAATTGTTTCAGTGGGAAAAGAAACAAAGACTGTACTCAGCAGTACATCAAATCAGAGCTTGCAGCTTTGGGTTTTGTTATTTGTAAAATGGGCCCAAGTCCATACTGACTGTAGATCATGGTATGTGTATGCATTTTCTTTACTTTCTCAGTTAGCATGTAGCTTACAAGGTACAAAAAAATGTGTCATTTCTACCAAAACAGTGTTTAGACTGGTTTTCCAAGATGTGCAACAGGTGCTGAAGTCAGTAGCTTTAGAAAGAAGAAAAACAGTGTTATAAATAGTAATAGCAGCAATTTTTGCATGATAGCTCTTTCCTATGCTCAAAAGAGCTAGGAAAATTCGCATCCAGGTATCTAAGTTTAGTACCAAATACTTTAGGTACCTGCTAAAATCTTTACACGTTAATTACTGATCTACCTACTCCCATAATCATGTGAGAGGGAGTATTTTACCGTTCCACGCTTCTTCCCTCTTGATGGTCTCCTACTAAATGGATTCACTTTAATAACACACTGCTCAGTTTAAAAATAGCCTAGCCCTGTCACTCAGCTCATTATTTTCCACTCTCATTTTTTCAAGACACTTTATGGTCAAATGCCCAGTCATTAAAAAAAAAAAACAATAAAAAACATTTAAGATGGAAAGTCCCAAATGTTACTTTCAATTATTTCTTTTGAGCAAAGCCCCACATTAGTAAAACAGTTTCACTCTCCATTTGCTCATCCAGTCTAACCCAGAAGAGGCAAGAGATTTAACCCAGCTTCCTTTCCCTCCTCTGTTCCTCAAGTTATTTTACTTCCTTCTCAGGAGTAAAATTTAGGAAAAAACAGCAAGACCAAAGGCTGGATAAAATGCAGCCTATGCTTGAATATTCCAAACATACACTCTCATTTTTGTATGTATTCAATTCCACAGAGTATTTTCTATAATATAAATTAATTCCACTATAGCTTTTAATTTGCTGTGAGGCTATTAAATAGAAAATTTTGACCCTGTGAAAAAAAGGCAAACTTGCTTAGAAGTTACTAAAGTAAAAAGAAATTATAAGAAATTTGAAAAGCATTTGCATATTAAAACATTGAAAATGCCTTATTTTTAGGTTCCTAATGGGAATAACTGTTACTAAGACACTGATGAATTTTCATGACACATTAAGACAGTACAATTATTTCAAAGATGAAGATAAATTTCCCATTACTGCTTTGTTCTTCTGTAATAACTTGGATCACCTAGGCATTTGATCTTGCT